CGCTGCATCGGTTTTATTGAATGTAGGCCTACTCGAGTTATTCAAAAACACATTACATTCTTACATCATGACCCACGAAACTTATTTTTCTGTATATTTTTTACAGGTTTTACATCACTCTTACTGGTTCTACAGCAGTGTACATCGATACTACTAAGTCAGATGACGACCCTCCACCGGCGAAGGTTGAAGAATCCAAGAGTCTCCTGGAACAGATGGACGATCTTCTGGGCAAAAACAAAGAGAAGAAAAAGAAGAAACTTGATAGGTCAAAATTTGGGCGTTTCATTATTAATTTCCGTAAGTCGCCCTTTTTGATAGATGAAGTTTTTTAAACTTTGTGTTATCAATCTTTTTATTTTAGTAATATGCCTTTTTGGTTTAAAAAGTGATAAGTATACATGGAAATGCATTCAATAAATCAATATTACCACCTATTAGTTATTTTAATGAAGGAGTGCCAAGTGACACTTACGTGATCGGGCTCTGGTGAAAGTACAGTCAGCAAATATTTGCCCAACCCTGAACTACATAATTTGCTACATAAATTAAAAAAGTGTTTAAAAATACTCCAAAAATCATCCTTACTACGATACATAACCTATTGTTATACTCCATTGTGCAGGAGTCGTCTGCAGGTCTTTATTCAATTTAAACTGGTATCAGATACCAAGACACCGAAGAAGATTCTCCTATCTCGTCGCCATGGTGCTTGTAAACCTTGCGGTATTCTTAACACTGGAGGCTTATGCAGATAATACCCATGTTTATACCGCGTTCAACAACGTTCCCATTCCCCGTCTTGGAACGTGTTTGATATACAAGAACACCGTCCACTTTGTCCTCCACTAATTAGCTTTCTTTTCTTTATGAAGCGGCGGGGAAAAGCTTTGGCGAAGTTGCCCTGATGACGGAAGATTCGGTCAGAAATGCTACCATCATAGCAGACGAAAACACGGACCTTCTTGTGATATCTAAGGAGCTGTTTGACAGCACGCTCAAGGTAAGACTGGAGGTGTTGTGCAAATAAAAACACCTGAATTAACTTCTAAAACGCCTGTGATACATTAATCAATCTTGAAATTTGATAACAAAAAATGGAGATGATATGTGCTACTGTCTAGAGAAGTGAGGTTTTGCTTTATCAGTTCCAAAATAAAATTATCTTTTAAAATTTACCATTGGTGAAAATAAGTTGACACGTTTTCGTTTGCGGAATAATGTGACAAAGTTTCGTTTCTGACAAGAAAAATCGAAAAAGCACATCATCATTTCAAGGCGAAACTGTGAAAAGCATTGACACGCACGCAAGAGCGTTGAATTTCATACCCGTATCTTTATTCCAACATCAAGTTTGTTCTTTCTAAGGGGAGTTCAAAGAGACAATCAATCTACATTCCCCTTAATTAATGAAATCGATCCTGGGTCATCTTGACTGAACTCCATTCTCAATATTGATCGCACCGTTTTGTACCAGTCATACCAATATCATCACCAATCAATGACGAATAATGTTAATGGGTATTTTAAGTTTCATGTAGGGAGTGTCTGATGCTTATGCAAATAGTTTTATGAAATATACCGCTGTCCTTCATTCATAGCATTTCTTTGGTTCCAGCAGGTTATTCACACGGCCTGGTCATTTCCTTTTATTTCAGGCGAAAAAAGAAGAAGAATACAGAGAAATCCGAGAATTTATTGACAACAGTGTGTTGTTCAAATCATGGAGCCCAAAATTTAAACGTCTCTTGGAGATGAGTTTACGGAAGGAGAAATACGCGTACGACTCCGTTATCACCAACCAGGGTGAAACCATGTTTGGCATTATTTTCATAATAAGGTATATGCGTTGACATATATGCCAAAATTGTTTAAAACCAGGTTAAAACAGACCCAACTTAAACGGGTGCATGTTTAATTTATCCGCACACTTGCTAGGAAATACACTGATCAGCATTTTTTTCTTTAAGCGTAAACAATTGGCAAATCAAATGAAATAAACCCTGTTGCTGTAAACACAGACGACACGTTGGTTACAATTTTAATTTCTTTATCCAGTAAATCGACTTTCCTCTTTACCTGACAGCACCATTATAGATAAGTGCTAAAGCATCCTCGTTAAGCCTCCTAAATATAGCAACTGAAAAGTCTCTATCAAAAGAGAATATTTACCTCTCTAGTCTCCACAAACGTATGAAGTCTGTTTCACACATTCCTTTTTGACTGCGATTAGATGTAATTTGCTGATAGAAAAATATATTTTTGTGATGATTTTAGGGGGCAGGTAACATTAATCACAAAGCCGGGCCTCCACGAAGCAAGCTACTACAAATTGTTTCGGAAAAAGAACCATTTGATTGAAGCAGGAATTATACCGTAAGTGTAATTATTAGAATTATTTTAATTTAGCCAGTCATATTCTTTCTGTGTCACATTTTTTTCTTCCAGGATAGTCAATATGTTTTTTTACCATTTTCTTTATTCATATCACTCATACATTGCACAGTATATAAGAACCAATTACATAAGCAATTTCTGCTTTTTAGAAATCAGAATCTTGGGGCAAATAGTGCAAATTGAGCCTTATACAAAAACCTCTATTTAAAAAATCAGAATACTTGTCTACAAACCTTAAACAACTTTTATCATCCTGGTACCATAATTTGTTTTAGTGACACAGACAAAGATGAACCAAAGGTTATAGAAAATGTCACTCAGGACCAAATACGCGTGCGCAGGAAAGAAGGCTATGCTGCCGCAGAGAGAAGAATAAACACCAAAACTGTAGATCTGTGTTTTCTTGGACAAGGGGAAATGATAGGTAGGAGGTTAATTAACACAATATATTTAATTTTCGACATGGTTGTATCACATAGTTTCTTTTAGGAAGGTCTCTTATTTATGTGCCATTGACAGCCATTGACACCTTGCTTTAAAATTCTTCTCAATAAATGTGGATGAACCAAAATAAAGTCCTCATAGTCACAAAAGATAAGAAATTGGTTATGACTATATGTTTAAAGTGCATTTATTGCAGCAATTCTCATTCATGTCTCCACTTTTTTTCAGGTGACATTGAACTCGTAATGAACATGAGCACCTTCTTTGGGACAGCTAAGTGCAATTCGGACGTCCATGCATTTATACTAGATCTGAAAAACTATGATAGATTAGTCGGCAAGAAAAATCCATTTACTCACGAAGTGCTCAAAAAAATCGTAGAGCACAAGGTGAAATGTCGACTATCGTCATCCCAGGGCAGCCAGCTTCCTCTTCTAAAATTCATTGAAGCGAAAATCGAAGAAGATAAACCAAAGATTACCCTGGTCGGAGATGAGTCGGAGGAAGAAAAGAAAAGAAAATTATTCATGAAGCAGTTGGTCGGTTTGTTCATTGAAGGAAAAGTTCCATTAATAGAGCCTAGTGTACCAGACTCTGTGTACTACAGGCATAAATCGAAAGTGAAACTCAAAGAGCGTGAAAGAGACCAAGCAGTAAAAAGAGCTAATAAGCAATCTTCCAGGTTCAATGACGCTGATACTCGTTTATCGCGTGCACGGATGCCCCGTCGTCGCGTGAGGAGCAGACGAGAGTTGGAGCAAATGAAAATAGAGCCACCGAGTATAGTGAGTCAAGTTCGAGAAGCTAACGAGAGAATGCGAGCGCTTGGGTCGGGTACCACACCGGCTGCTACTGCTATCAGCAATGTCGGCAATCAACAAAAGACTGTTGCATGGGGTGAGGGCACGAAATCTGATAATGGACCAAAATCAGGAAAGGGGTTTTTTCTTGACTACCCCAAATAATGACGACAATGACTCTGTAGCATCTGGATCCATGGAGAACGCATGGCGGGAAATAGACAATTACCAGCGCAGACGATCCTCTCTAAAGATGGTTTGCTCAAGCCCTGATCGGAGCAAGGAAAACACTAGTTCTGTGGCGCTGCTCAAGGCTACACAATTAAATGGTAACGCCAGCAGCGAAGGGGAAGATGATTATTTTGACTATGAAACTAGTGGGCATATTTTAAGTTCTCTCGAGGAGAGACTGAAGAATTTCTACAACAAGCAGGAGGAACACAAGAGAAATGTTGCCCGCGTTACGGAGCTGCGAAGATTTGAGATTAAGGTATATTTTTAAGATGTTAGAAACGTTAAAATTATGCGATGGTTTGTTCCTCATTGTTGGTCCCCAGCAATTAATTACATTTCTTTTATTGCGATCATAATATAGGTGATTTCAGATATTATTAATCCATTTGATTAGAATCTGTTTGGTAATGTGATGAATTAAAAACTTAAAAATGCATTTCAACAAAAACCATTGGTATTTGTTTTGGTACATTTAAGGAGGCTAAAACAATCCCCATCCCTGGTGGTACGGTGTACGTACGTACAAAGCCGTGCAAGTATCCCAGAGGCGTTCACGTGGATCCACAGCATCACCAGCACGTGCGACGCCACATCATAGCAAAGAGACCGGTCACTGCTGGGGCTCCGCCAATGCTTCCGCTACCGCCAGGCACTGCAGCGCCCCCTTCCCGCACCGCTACGGCACTGGGAGTTTCTCATGACAACCGACCGGCATCAAGTCTTGGTGGGCGTGACCATTCCTTAGCTCCACCTAGCGGAGGTTACAAGCCTAGACCACATACTGCATTAGCCAGAGTTCATTAGAGAACTTCCATCGTTGTCCAGAACTATACAGAAGCCTATAAATGTATACCAATACAGAACTTATCAGGATATAAAAATACTCTACCTCTCCATATATGGCTCATTTTTAACTTAACAATTAAGGATTTTATAAAGTTTACTGTTTGAGGGCCTTCTGATCCCCGAAATGATGTGATAATAGCAATGTGTCAAATTATGGTGCCTTTTCTAAGCTTTCTAATTACAATTTTTTTTGACACCATCTTCCACCTAGATAATTTACAATGAAATTTAGATGCTTTATGTGTTTTAACAACTGTCATTTTCAGATATACAAGTCACTTAATGAAAAAGAAAGTTTATTTTAGACTCTATATGCAACATAAAATTTACAGGTTTGTGAAACACTGATAGTTATATATACAATGGGCACTGTATTTTTGCACCAATCATTTTTTATATTTCAATAAAAATTTGCATAACTGTTTCCTTAAAATAGACCAAAGCTTTCAATGGTATTCTCACACTACATATACCTGGAAAATCAATTCTATATTTTAATACTATTGGCTAAATATTAACAAAAAGTGATATACTCTTCCATAGAATAATTGCACATTTTCATCTTCCATAAAGAAAGATTTTCTCATTCAAACTGTCAGGAAAAAAGCAGCAACATTCTGCTGCAATGATATCAAAAAGAATTTCAAGATCTGTTCTAGTTCCAACTCTGCCAGATGTTTCTTTTGTCTGTCAATCTAATATATAACACAACACCAAAGGAAAATGTCAATCCATTTGCAGTTATTAACATTTTCCCCATTCAGAACCCATCCCTGTGATTCTTTTTCAAATGTACAGATTAAAACTGCATGACTTCCAAACTGCTATTCCTTGGCATCTTAGAAAGTTTAATGTCTTTGGAGTAACATTTAGTCTTTTGAATCTCCAATCCCATCAGCATAAATGGCAAACATGGCCTCAGCTTCTGGCAAACAGGGGGAGTCATAGATTTTACAGATCCTGGTCTCTCCACGGCCTTTGCGAAGGTATAATCTGAAGAAGAGAATATCAATAATATGTACTTTCACAGACATGACAAACATCTACCAAATTTACGACTGTAATTGAAATTTTTGCAGCATTTGTGCCCATCAACAATTTTACAGTTCAAATATTGTTCTAACAAAGGAAACAAAGATTGTTTGCAAGTATAACTTTGGTAAGAGCCTACCGAAAATGAGAAATTAACAGTATTTATCTATCTTAGGTTGACACAGACCTGGTAGTGGAAGCGTGTGCAATGATATTGCCACCAATGGGCTTTTTGGGATCTGCAGAAAACATGGCTGCCCCATCCACCTGGGCTACAACTTGGTTTGTTATTACCACTGCTACCCCAAACTGGAAATAAGAACCATTATATTGCAAATTATTTTTATTCAGTGATTAAATAAGTATGATAAAACGTATCAATTCAGCATAAAGTTTAAGGAAATTTTAAGCCATATCAAACTGCTGAGTCAAAGCAGTGATCATTTGGCAAAATATTTGGAGAAAAAAAATCTTTAATTTTCTTTATCCAAGGTATATAATCTTTAACATTTAGCAAGAATGTAATATGCCAGTATGAGCGCAAGTTGGGTTGATAGAAAGAATCAATTAGAACCTACATATCTTTTAAGGATAGCATTTTTTTAATAACCTTCAACAAGACCTATCTCAAAACTTTGTAACAAAAACACAAATTGCAAATATTTCAACTTACTTCATCTGATAGTCTGAGAAGTGTTCTCAAGAACCGTGCTAAATGCATCTGTCTGGCTGACAACTCTCCTCGGCCAGAGTAGTCTGTTCTGTACAGGGCTGTGGCACTGTCTACAATAAGAAGGGAATATCTGGAAAAGGAGGAGAAAATTATGCTTGAAAATGTCTCAAAGCCATATTTATCTCGTAAGACTTCTTATCCTTCCCAAAATCTGATCATATCTCAAAATGATAATCCCCCTTAAATAAGTTCACCAGAAGCATACCTAATGTTTATATTTCTTGCTGAACTTAAGAACCTCACAAGGTCCATGCCTTGGGGGAGGGGAGGGGAGAGGGGCGGGCTAAGATAAACCTACCTGGACTCTGCCATCATGGCTGCTGCTTGAATGAGTAACTGTGTCTGGTGGTCAGTATTGTAAGCTCTGGCATAGGCAACATTGTCTAACACATCACTGCCTGATAGCCCATACCTAGGAGAAAATAATCAATTTATAAACATTTTACTGTATACAATTTCAAGATTGAACTCAGCACACAACTAGCCACGCTCGGCTGTCACCTTGATTGGATAGTAAACGATTGTCGTAAAATCGCTAAATGGTATTAAAACCGGGTGCATAAACTTGAAAACCACCTAGGACAACCTTGGACTGCCACATTAATCCAATACAATGCAAAAATAAACTATAACAAGTGGTTAAAGCCTTCAAACCGAATGCCGTAAAGTCCCCATATACCTCCATAGAGACAATAAAATAGAGTAAGCTTGTGAAACAAGAATAAACCATTTTGAACATAATAATCGAAATAAAATACTGCCAGGCATCGGAGCGGCCTAAAACTTGGCACGCTTACCGCAAATACTGCAGGCTACATCATCCCGTCGCTCGTTTGTAAATTCCGTGCATGGCATACGCACAATCAAACCGTATATCCAAATTCCACCTTTGATGTTTAAGTTGGTCCTCTCTACAATCCAATTCAGGAAATGACGTAACCGCAGAGGTCGCATTGTCCAATGGCATGGCTTCTTTTTCGTAATGGGAGGTTAGAGAGGACACCCGGTTTTAATACCATTTAGGGATTTTACGACAATCATTTACTATCCAATCAAGGTGACAGCCGAGCGTGCAACAAGCATACACCATAATTTCAGTGACTTCATAAGATTGTCGATGTCCAAAATTTTCTGATTGATTTAATCATTAAATTATGACCTGGCAGCTGGTTTCTTTTTGAGACTAACAAAAGATAATTCTGAAGTTAAAACTTCCCATTTAGCTTACTTTTCTGCTACTGCTAATAACCTTTCAGGTCTAAATGTTCCCTCAGAGTCGATATACAAACATTTCCCCTCTCCACCACCCATGTCTATTGGAAGCTGTAATAAATTAATACAAATTAAATAGTGAAAAATAAATATGTGGAAATAATATATTAGTGTATCTGTAAAAGGAAAATCCAAGGGAAACTACTGCTTTACTTGGATTTCAAGCCAGCACACATGTAAGCAGTTCTATTAACCCATAATATTAAAAATTTTGATGGATGATTGCCATGTAATTTTCTTTTTTTTTTTTTATTACCTGGCAAGTAACAGCTAACTGGTGGCAAAGTTGAGTCTTTCCTGTTCTGAACTCTCCAAATATTTCTGTAATTGAACCAGTTTCTATGCCACCTAAAATGCAATCATCACAATCAATTCTGGATCACAATAAAAGCAATGAGAAAAAAGAAGGAAAAATTGTGACCTTCTTATTTGTTACCAAATGGGCTAATTACAAAGAAATGCTGAATGGAATCATTATGAACATAAGAACTTTTTTAAATATATAAGCAATGCACATTTCAAGAATGAAAGGTAAAGTTTGTTATTCACAGACCTTGTAATAATTTGTCCAATTCTTTTGATCCACTTGTTATTTGTATAATCTCTGAGCGCTTCTGGTGGAATTCTGTTGCAGTGGTGAATCCCATTGGAACCATTTTAGCAGCTTCACCCTATATTAATACCAAAGTGGGATTAATGTAATAATTAAGGAGAGAAAGATACATTAGAAGCTTGTTACAGTTCGAATTTTATTCAAATTATATTTGGACCATTACAAGGATAAAAAGAAATACACATTATGCAAAAATCATGAACAAACTTACTAGAATCTTGTCTGCCTTAGCCTCACTGATGCCCTTTATGGTAATAATACTCTTCTTTGGAGCAAAGGCCACAGCTTCCACAGTGTAGTAGCCTGCTTCTTCTAACTTCTTTATGTCATTTGCACTTATACCAACTGTCTGTGATAAAAAAAAATCAATTAGACGACATGGCAAAGTTGGACATGAGTATATTAGGAAGAATGAATTATATTTCTGAATGGAGCACATGAAACTTAAGATTTCTTTTTTGTTTTTGTTTGGAAATGGGATTTCCCTCTGGGAATTAACAGTGACAGCTCATTGTTCATTTTTACTGTTTGAGTGTAACAGATAACAAAAATCTTACATATAATGATACAATAAAAATAACAACACAATGGGTATCTATATACAAGAATACTCATTTTACATTTTTTTAAAGAAATTCAAATGTCATAAATAGCACACTAACCTCAAGCCTACTAAGTGGAAGTGGTCCCAAAATATCTTCCTCAATACTTTCCTCTTGTCGTTCTACCTGCATTGCCATTGCTAGTGTAAAAAGTGAAAAAGTGGTTTTAATTAAATTTTGTTTAACAGGTAAGTTGCCATATGTGTCTATGCATAAACCCTAAGATGGAAGACAGCCTCGATCTGTCCCTGTAGAGAATTTCAGACACCCAAACCAGGCCAGAATCTGCATGTTTATATTGTATTTGTTCAAAAGGCATTCACCAATTGTGTACCAGTGGTTGAATTGTGTTTTTCACAACTAAAATTTTGGCAATCCATAAACACAGGGGTGGTAACACACGAGGAACACCTTACCCAATTACTTTATCTGGAATTCCTCACTTAATCAGTTCACGCAAAATCTACACTCTTTCATTTCCATAAAAAGAGCAGTAATCCACCAAAACGATCCATTTCTTTGTCAGTATTTTATACTAAGGACGACAGAATGATGTGAGTTTCAAATTCAGACATCCCTATTTTGCAACCATATACTGCGATATACTGCAGTTATACAACAAATGTCAACATGCAAGCTGATGCATGCAGAATTTGAAAAAAAAAACAACCTAAGCCTGTGGTGCTATCTAAAGCACCATAATAACCATTAACGGTGGAAAATAGTTAAATAACCGGTATGATTATTTCCTTGAGCTTAAGTTTGTAAAATAAACAAAAATAATTGTGAAAAACCAACCTCACTTGGTGTTTGTCAGATCCGTACTAAACCGAGTTAACCCGCCAATAGAGTGACGTCACGAAAACCCCGTATCTGTTTCTCCTCATTTAAAAGTTTTTGAAATATTGTTCTTTTGTTTTTCTGCACAAAACACGTCAAAATTTAAGGTGTATTTTAAGACAATTATTAAAATTCCTATATAGATTTTTAAAACCAAATTAATATTTTAATTTTCACATAAAATGCCTTCAGTGCGGGATGAAATAAAGATGGCAGCGCTCTGGAAGTGAATCTGGGCAGGGGGTGGAAACGCGCTACTTATATGATTATGACGAGCCTAACCGTCAGCACCGGATATTAGTTTGTGACCTTGAGGGGCTATTAGGCTTGGTCTTTGCGGCACGCACGAACAGTAGTCGATCTACCACACCTGGGTCTTTTGTTTTTGACAACTGTTCACTCGTCAAGGAGGTGCTTGTTTAAGACTACAGACTGATATCTACTAGTACTACCAGTGGCTTCATTAGTAACGTTCCCACAATACATGGTTTTCTGTCTGTGCGTACATACCCTGAATTTGGTTAGCCTCACTGACGAGAACAATGGACGTTTCTTACCCCTCTCTAGGATTACCCCTGATCTGGGTGAATGCGCTGGTCTGCATTAACTTACAATTTGTATGTTTGCCATAAGAAGTGATAACGATTACAGCCAGAAACCCATTGAGAGTACACACCACGGCGTTTGGTTTATTTAATGTCACTTACAGGTATATTTAAGTAACCCTGGAGTGTAAATCACACCAACACGTTACAACCAACGACATTGTTTATGTAGCATTTGGTTGGTAGTACTGTACATGTATATGTTCCATATACTACACAAATAATGATAGTCTTACAAGATTGTGAAGATTTTAGAGATGTGCAACAACAAATATTAGAGTAGACTAGCTGGTTAAAAACCATCCTTATGGAGACAGCTAGGATATTATTTAATGTCAAAAGATGCATTTAAGATTGAATAATTTGTAACTTAGAAGATTTACAAGACTTAAATAGTGTATTAAACTGTTCTTATGGCGATGACTTTATTTATCTTTCTGATTTTTAGTCTGTCAAGATGCTGACTCCTGCTTTTGAGCTGTCACAGGATGAAACTTTTCTCATACTTATTGTGAGAGTCCCATTTGCCAAAGTCTCAGAAACTGAAATTTTCATCGAAGAAAATGAAGTTAAATTTTATTCTCAACCTTATTATCTGTGTCTCACCTTACCTGGCAATGTTATAGAGGATGGTCGGGAAACTGCTCAGTATGAGGCTGAATCTGGCTCCTTCACCATCAGGATTCCAAAAGAAGTCCCAGGCCAGTGGTTTGAGGGTCTGGATATGTTAACCAAGCTTCTTGCACCAAAGGGAGAAAGCAGTGCTAGTCTCCCAGTCATGGAAGTTTTGGGAGAAGACATATCAGCTTCTGGTGATGATACATTGGATGATGCGACCATGTTTGAAGATTTTGACTGGCAGTATCCCCAAAAACCTTTTGTTGAAGAAGCTGTTTGCCTAAATGGGCCAACATATGGCTTTGCAAATAGGCGTCATGGTGTGTTCAAGAGACTTCAGGAGGAAATGCTGGGTATTATTGATCTGAGTGATCCTGATTCTGTTACAGTGAATGAAAGATCAAAATTGATGACTTCTTCAGAGAAAGCACATTTTGATGAGGATCACTATCTTTTTGATTTATTTCAAAATGATGATCAGCTGACACCCATTTTATCATACCAGCCTGTCTGGTACAAATATAAACCAGAGCTCCCTGTGGAGTTCAGTGAAGAAGAAAAAGAGAGAATGATGCAGCTTCCAAGGAAGCAATATTTGTTAGACAAAACTGAACTTGTGCAAGTTCTTTTGGCCCTAATAGATATCGTCTATGCATTTGCTTATAATCATAGAACAACAGAAGGAGAAAGTACAGTGGAGTCAGCCTGGACCATCAAAAAAATCAGTAGTACCTTGTCTTGGTTGGGAGTGCACCAAAGTATTCAAAACACTGTGCTGACAAGTTTTAGAAGAAGTTTGTGTTTTCCACTGTTTAGAAACTGGGATCTAAGCCGTAAAGTCCTAAAGGACACACTGATGATATTCAAGAGTGGCAGAAATAGGATACTAAAATGTCTTCTGGAAATTCACAAAATTTTTGCTAATAGTGACTTGTGTTACATTTTAAATGATCTATACATCACTGACTATTGTGTTTGGGTACAATCTGTAAGTGAAAAACAAATAGCTTCTGTATTTCATTCTTTAAAGGAAATCAAGGTGAACAAGAGTGATGTTGACTTGGATTTGGTAGAGCTTGAGCAGGCTGCCAAAATGGTCCAAGAAGAAGAGGAGGAGGAGGAAAGTGATGGTTTAGCCCAGGGGCTGGCACAGGTGTCTTTAAATGCCAGTTCATCTGGCAGGTTACCCAGTCCTGAGAATGACCAAGAAAGCTCTAGTTTAGAGGAGTCAGATACCACTGAGATAGGCAGTGATGAAAGTGAAAGTGAAAGTGACAGCAGTGCAGTTGTAAGCAATGATGAATCAGACTCTGTAAATATTAACTCACATGCCTCTAAAAAAGCCATGCTTTCTGTAAAACTTCCTGAAAATATGGCAGTTTGTACTCCAATGAGTATTGGAACCAATCCTTGCAGCAAGCAAGACCAATCTGAGGTGTCTGGTACAGGACACAGTTCAAAGTCTGTACTTGAGGTTTTAACCAGCATCTGTCCAGCTGGATCAAGTAGTGAAGATGAAGTTTATGTTGGTGTTGTTCAGGAAAGTGAACCAAAGAGAACACCACTTATTGAAGAGATTTAATTTGCAATAATATATTTATGCCTCATAGTGCTGAACTCTATTCATCTAGCTAATCCATTTAAATGATAGTAGAATCATGTGCTTACAAGTGGCATTTTGGTCTATCATGTAAAATGTTATTAAAACATGAGCAGTGCATTGTTTGCAAACAATATATAAATAGCACATGTATACAAATATGGTGTAAATTATGTGCCATATACAAAAAGTTAAAAAAAGTTACAGTCGTTTCTATGTAAAACAATTCATTCAAATCCATAACATAGCTGTTTACATGGATGTTTTGAGGGACACCTGCTGTGTATCTTGATGAAGCATGTTAATTTTGTTACAAATAGTTAATTTCATATTAAAATGAGGATGATGTTTACATGCAAATATGAGCTAAAATTGAAGGACTTCTGGACAAAATGTGTTATGCACTTAGGCGGGTAATATTGTGAAAGAATATAATTTCTCAGTGATACCTAATATGTATAACGTGTTTGACATGTAAGATGTGTGTCTATTGTTGAAAAATGTCATAATGAAACCATCCTATTTGTGCTTTTCTGCTATTTGTTACTGTTCAGTCAAATGTAAATTGTATGTCGCAGTCTTCCATTTCTCTTTTAAATGCTTTATCAAACTCTTCATTCTGTGCCACAGTGAAAGTGTTCTTCCAGTCGCCAACTTGACCTAAAAAGTGAAATTAACATCATGTATCATTTTCATGCACAAGCTTTTACAATGTTGGTTGGGTTAACATATCGCCATTTATACATGTTCATAAATAACTAAATAAATAAAAATTCTATTGTATTGCTTCTTAATTCCAACGTGTTTTAGGCATGGTATTCAATGTGATAAAATTACCTTTTCTGAAAAAGCTTCCCTCCTTTGTTTTGAAGATTCCCGGTAGTTCTTTGAATTGAGCATTTTTCTTCATAGCTTCGAAAGTACATGCGTTAGCGATGTTAAGGTACATTTGTTCGTCGTGTGTTTTATTGATGAATTCTGCTATCCTCTTGATCTGCGCTGGTAGACACTGAAATGAATTAATGAAAAAGTTAAACAAAACTAAAAATTAACAAACGATATCACTGCAGATCCAGGATAACCGAGGGAATGGGGGTTGGGGGGGGGGGGGGTCAAAATACCTGGCAGGTCAAGGATAACAGACTGGGAGGAGAGGGAAGGGGTCGATGTCACTTGCAGGCCCAGGATATCAAGATGGAGATGTCTCTGATGGGTGTTGCCCATCCCCAACGACACCTCTTATTAAGGAAAACATTTTCCCACTGTTTAAAGTGTTTATGGGCATTTGCAGCAATATAAAGCACTCCTCTCTTCACTTTTTCTTCCCTCTTGGGAAAGGGCGAGTAAAGTATGACATTTTATTTTAAAGGAAGGGAGTGTGCATGTTGTGGGAAGGGAGAGAGAGTTTGCTCCGCCGCCTGAAACCTCTGAAGGCCCGCTAGGACAATTTTTCTTACATATATACATATGCTTTACCTTTTTGAGTTCTTCGTAGTGTACATACATCATATGGTCATATTCTTGTCTCAGTTTCCACCAATCCTTCACATGCTTAAACCATGGACCATAATCCACTGAAAATTTCATAGTCATAAGTACAATTATATATAAAGTGATAATGTATGCTTTGCTTCGTTGTAATCTTTCTATTTGATTTTACTACTGCTTTATGAATTTTTTTAATTCAAGAAATATATTTTACGATTGATTTCGGTTTGTATTAAGAAGCATAGTTCTCCAAGGTGAGAAGTTAAGAACATTTTATAAGTATAGCCAACGTACCCTCTCCTTTCAGAAAAACTTTGAAGAAATGATCCCAATCGCCGTCATACTTGTATTCCGCTATTCCAGAAACGTGGTGAAACTGAGAGACGCACACGTCCTTAGGGTTTCGCATGATATATATGATTTTACAGTTCTTCTCAAATATGTCTCGTGGCATAAGATCGTATGGCAGGTGCGTTAGAAGGATTCTCGGGGAGGGCATGTCTTCAATTTCTTTAATGGTTCTTAATTCAAAGAAATTATTGAGCTTGGACTTGTTAACACTGTGTGCGTTTCCCTGGTATAGCATGTTGACAAATTCAAAGGACCAGTGGTGGCCTGAAAACATGAAAAATGTATGAAATTGAATATGATCTTTAACCTTTGAGTTATGTTTTTACTATTTTACTGTTATTTATCAATAAATTTATACAGTGCAAGAAATAGAATAAATAGAAGAAAATCATATGTTTCTGGATAAATACAAAATCAGATGTATTCAAAAGTATGAGACTTTCACGATTTCTTTCTTTTTTTTTCAATGTAATGCACAAGAAAGTGAAATAGGGGTTTTCTATTTACCCACCCGATTTCGGAAAAGAAGCGATGTACAGGTCATCAGGGCGAGCTTTGAATTTTGTTTCGGCTTCGTCAAACCATTTCTTCCAACCATACCCTTCGGGCCATACTTCCATGGTAGGTAAAATATGGTTACGATAGCGCACTAGCCATATGCCATTTATATGCTCCCCTTCTGCCATACTCAAACACTTCGACCAGCCGCTGCTACGAAAAACAAGTGCTGAAAGGTAAAGGTATATTTAAATTTCCTGGTAATGTTGATTACTAATAAGACCCTTTTATTTTATTTATTTATTTATTATTTGTGGGCGCGAGCGTGTGTGCCTCGAGCTGACTCTCCTATTATCAACACGTTTTGATTAACAACATTGCATTTGTACTTTTATGTTATTGAATCTACTACTATAAGCAAGGGTTTAATTTGCACGTCAACTTTGTTCATCCTTACATTCAATTTCAATTCAGGTGAATTGATTTGACAGACATCCAGATCGTTATTGAAATTAAGCATCATTACTGAAGCTCCAGGGTTGCGTTTCAACGGCAGAGAAGAGTACTTGAGCTTAGAAAGTAAATACATTACATCACGAACAGGATGCAAAACCTTCATTCACATTTTCTTTCCAGTTATACGACGAGGGAATAATATGAAAGATAATTTCTGTCCTTTATTCGTAAGCACGTCAAAACGTTTTGCAGCGTTTCTAATTAAAGTCGAACTCACCCAGACCCTGGTTTTATTGATTGAGAAGAAATTATTTTGCACCGATGATCGAGATGACGGACAGAACATAAGGTCGGAGCTATTAAAGGTCGGTTATTGGAAAGAGATAACACATGTTAGTTACCGCACGTAATTTTATGTGCACTTGGGCGTCCGCTTGTGTGGATATGCACGCGTGTTATTGTATGAGCGGCATAAGTGTTCTATTCAAATATTTCGATTTGTTTTGAACGTTGCACCAAACTGGGTGTAGAGTACTAAGTGAAACAAAACAAGCAAATCTGTTTTGATTTATGCAGACAAAAACCGGTGCAAAAAGCCATTTTTACAAGTCAAGGTCATGTTCATTTTATCACTTCAGTAAAAGATGCATACAAATATAGAGAGGACATAAACGAAAGTACGCCTACTATTGATGTAAACAACAACATATCTCAATAACTCTCGCTGCAACCAGTTAGATTCATACCTCGCCATATTGCAACCAGTTAGACTGATACCACGGCAGATTGCAACCAGTTAGACTGAATGCAACCAATAACGCTGATACATTGGCAGATTGCAACCAGTAACACTGATACTGTACCTTGGCAGATTGCAACCAGTAAATTGCAAATTGCAACCAGATACAGATTTTCACTAGGTTGTTATCTAGGGAGGCCGATATAGGCCGCATTTAGAACAGTGAACTAACTAGTCTGAGGGTCAAATATGGCGACCCACTACAAAAAGCTTGCCGTCTAATCCGCTAATAGACACTGAATAGACACCCCGTGGGGGAGTATTCAAGTGGGTCGGCCATATTTGACCCTCGGACTGGTTAGTCCACTGTTCTTAATGAGGCCATTCGCATGCTCGTCGGTTCGTTTTTACGTTTTATTATGAAACCCTCCATACTGCAGAATCGCGTATAGATTTTTTCATCATAATGAATGTAACTCATTTGTCTTCAAAATATTAAAATTTATATTATTAAAGGACATACACCTCATATGATAAGAAAATCTTAACTCTGACAATGCTTATATTGCAGCATGCCACAACCTTTAAAACACAACAATACGATTCCCCTTGGTGTGAATTTGGTAACATACTACAGGAGCCAAAACCGTAGATCAACGTGCTCCTAAATATTTTATATTCAGTAAAATAACAGATTACATGTCATCACTTACCTGATGAAGTAAAGCCACTTGGACTGTCGCAATAAGGGTTTGGACACAGCACCTTGTAGCCTGTGCGTCACCGCAACACTGACATGTTCTCTCTCTTCTCTGAGAGATGGCCCGATTTCATTAAAGGCTTATGCACACTGCGCAATTTCATCAAGTCGTCTTGAATACAAATCTTATGCAAGTATAAATCTCAGTTCGAAGCTATCTGCCCGGAATGATTCCGGGTATCAAGGAGAGTAATCGACTTGAGACAAAGAGAAATATCGATCGATGGTCTTTGAATTCTATCCTGGAAACCTAGCTTGCGCAGTGCATGCGCTCATATATTTACTTTTCAGTCCAGATAATCATATCTGCAGAAAACCAATATCATACAGGAAATTACAGTCCAATTTTCAAATTTAAAATACGGTGGGTTTTTTTTTCACATTGATATTTTTGACCTAGCAAACGTTTAGCTTTGAATTTTATTGCCACCGCTTACATCATATAGGACCACGGAAAAGTGTTCTTGTTTCCGAATTGTAAAATGCCTATTCATCAATGCTACACATTTAGTTGATGCCAGCTGGGAGGGGTAAGTTGAAAGACATCCCTCGGTGTTCTCTCGTATTTTGTCTCGCCATCTGCAGTGATTTTAGTAAGCCACACTGCCCCATTCACACATATGCTAGGTGATAGGTCCGCCTATATCTGGCGATTGTGCGTGTTTGTGTGGAGAGGGGTCATACAAAACTAAGAAGTTGAATGTCTCACTGCAGGTTAAATATAAGAAGTCTCAATTTGTTAAGCTGGCGTCCTTAGATCCATTAATCCACGCAACAATTATCAATTTTTTTAATACGGGAAATAAGTTTGAAGTTAATACACCGTTTGTGCTGAAAGGAAAATAACGTTTAACGTCGAATGCTTCATTTACCAAGAATGCAATAAGTGATTGAATGACTAAGATTTCAATAGGTGATGAACGATGTGTTTGTGGTATTGACAATATTGCAGTTGTTGAGAAATCAGAATGTGCTAAGTGATGTGTGCTGCTTGTCCAAAAAATCTAGCCTAATCAATATAGGCCTACTACCCAAATAACAAACCGGATTAGTTCTTTTACTATCACGCTATTCTGTTCAGTATTTTTTTTCTATATCAAATGTCTATTTCACATTTAACTTTCTGACTGAACTGCCATTAATATCAACAGGCCCGCTGTTCATTTCAATGCAATACATTCTTAATATTTTCCTTCTTAAAGAATTTGCCTTCGCGAGCGAAGGAAGCTACTCCTGCAACAAAAATACTGAAAAATTGCAACTTAAGAACATATAAAGCACTTTTTTTAAAACTGCTTCCCCGCTAGTATGATTGTAAGTTGTTATTTTCTGCAGAACGCACGATATCCTTCCAGAGTTGTATCTGGTGAGTGCACACAAAGATCACCCGCCTTCATGCTCTCATACGGGTGACTGCATCGTCACTCATATTGGAATTTCAGTCCAGTATCTTTCAGTTCTTTTTCTATAACAGCGTCGAATCTTTCATTTTGTGCAACAGTAAAGTAGTTCTTCCAGTCGCCAATTTTCCCTGCAAATAAATGCAAATATATAACCATATGATGTGTCAGATGAAAAACAATCTTAGCCTCAACATTCGCCAAGGAAAGAAATAATAAAATGGTTTAGTTTGGCGGGCAAAGATGGAACAGAGATTTTAACACCTTTTATAGTAAATTTAAATACGCTAACCCATCTTCCATCCGTCTAAAACGGACAGCGTAAAATTTAAGAACGCCATTACAAACCCTTGCGAAAGAAAGTGCCATCTGTTGTTTTGAATATCCCTGGAAGCTCCTTAGCTTTTGCGTTTTTCTTCATTACATCAAAGTTAGAGTTCTCCGCCATTTTACGATAAAGATCGTCGTCGTACGTTTTTCCTAGGAATTCTCCCACCCGTTTGATATTAGCAAATAGATCCTGAAATATATCATCATAGATCTACATCATGATAAGCAGACTGAATTTTGACTTTCCTATTGTGATTTTGGAACTTACATCTAATTGTTGCAACAAATTTTGTATAATTATTGATACATACATGCTTCATGTCCTCGTATTTCAGGAAAAGAACGTTTGGGTTATCTTTGCAGTGTGTCCACCAATCTTTTACATGACTGAGCCAAGGGCCGTTTTCAACTAAAAGATAGAAAAATAATATTTTGCATAACATTCACCCTGAGTTTAACGCTTTCCTGGTGACTCCAAGCATACCTGTAAAGATGATGTAGAACGCAAGCTGGATTAGAGTGGAGTCACCTTTATAACTATGGATGCATTCCCACAAACGCCATGGGTCTACGTGGATCGACCCAACTCGACGGGGATAATCGCTGAGTGCAATCGGCTAACAGATTAACACGCCTCCTCCTGTTAAGAAGAATACAATAAAACTGGTGATTATACGAGTACTTTGGAAACGAAAGGAGGCATGTCATTCAAATAAGCTGATTGCACTTAGCGCGAGTTGGGTCGATCCACGTAGACCGATGGTGTCTTTATGGGAATGGAGCCTTAGATAAGAGAAACCCAGGTGAAGGAATATAAAGACAACAACGCAAATTGTTCAGATCATGGCACTGAACTGCATAAATGTTAAGCAACATTTTATACCGTTTTCAAAAAGACCAAGCCCAGCGACGCATTGGCAACACGAATTGAATCAAAATAGCGAAGATTCCATGAACAAATCGCATTACTGCTGCAATTCACATGGATACTTTTTTCGTTAAACTGATAAGAAAAGCTTAGCTCTGCAAGCTTTCACTCATGGAAAGACCTTATTCCAAGAGTGAACATATCATGCAGTCGTTGTTAAGGATAAAGGGGGAAAATTACAAGATATCATGTGAAAGTCTTATAATCATATTTATGATTACCACTGATCTCTAGTTGTATTACTATTCAGTTACCTTCTCCTTTCAGAAAAAGCTCGAAGAAATGGTTCCAGTCCCCATCATATTTATACTCGGCTATCCCGCGAACGTGGTTGAAGTGAGACGCACACACGTCCTTTGGATTCCGCATGATGCAGATAATCTTGCATTTCTTGTTGATTACATCCTGTGGCATGGTATCATAGGGTAAATGGGTCATAAGTATTCTAGGAGAGGGCATTTCTTCGATTTCTCTTATCTCGTGCATTTCAAAGAAGTTTTCTAGTTTTGATTTGTTCACGCTGTCTGCATTGCCATTGTATATCATGTTGATGAACTCGAAAGACCAGTGATGACCTGTATAACGAAGAAGAGGAGAGAAAGAGAGGGGGATATATAAACAAATAATTTATATTGTAAAAGCTATATATATTTAGTACACACCAGAGTGGAGGTTAAATTTTGGTACAAAATTATTGATTTCAAAACCCATCTTACCACGTCACTTCCGCCTTAAAAAACCTAAATAACTGACTTACCAGATTTGGGGAAAGACGCAATATAAAGGTCGTCAGGTCTGGCAGCAAAGTTATTGTCCAACTCCTCAAACCACTTGTTCCAGTCGTACCCCTTGGGCCATAGTTCCATGGTGGGCCACAGGTGGCCGCGACACCTGCACAGCAACATGCCGTTTATCATTTCACCAGCCATATCCAACTTTTATCACTGTACTGGTGTCCCAGGTGTAACAGCGTGGTGTAGAATTGATACCAACTTGACCTGAAATGAATACACAGCTCTGGTAGTAGTACGTGCGTAGCTGGAATCTGTGCAGATGTGTGTCGACCGCTACATGTACCCAATACTCCATACCAACCCATAGTTATTCAAGAAACACAATTAGATTTCCGCTACAGATCCCAAATCTATTGACTCAGAGCATCGTCAAAGTGATTTGCATGATGCCATTATAATTGTTTCGTACTTTTGTTGACTTCCAGGGCATTGACTGTAGTGTAGGCCCTATTTACGCATAATAGGCCTAGTCTAACTTACTCAAAATAATTTGTTGCAACTGACTAAATAAATGTACATTTAGAATACTAAGGAATGCGTCCAGTGCATCGTATCACCTGTAGTAGGCAATACGGGCGAATGTTGCATAATGTAACTAAATTGTACTCTATAGCCTACATGGACCAAGTATTCATAATTGTCCACGTCTATTAAGGCGGGAGGAGGAAATTGCCATGGAGGTGCAGGATCAAGACACCACACTCTGAACGTCTTGGCTTTGGCACCAGTTTCGAAATTAAGTACACACAGCATCCTGAGTATAAAAGGTCACTGCACCTCTTTACTATCAGCATGTCCCTGCCGTTTCCAGCCAGGAGTGTAGGCCCTATTGCCGTTAACTGACATTCCATACTAAGGATGGCTGACAGTGACTTTCATCTAATTTCCATCATACGCTTCCCGTTTCTGTAACGGTTAATGGAAACCGGGATAACGTGCTGATTACATGAATATCTAGTGTGGGTCTACGAGTATTTGCCATCACGCTGAAGTAATAAGGGCTGGTAAAACGACGGATAAATGGTCCATGTCTGAAACGCGCATATAGCCTACTAGACGAGCAAGGATGGGGGTTGGCTTACCTGTTAAACTGACATGCTTCATACGGACACAGGCAAATAAGAATGAAGTTAAAACCACTCTTTCATCAGATATTAGGCCCTACACATATAATGCTCACCTTGTTTGCTGTTTTCATGCAGACATTTCTAGGGCAGGCTTGGAACCCAATTTGCCTATGCAAAGTAGGCCTACTTACAGGTCAGGGACAGGAAACCTACTACGATAATGTAGGTGACCCGAATTTGCAGCTGGTAATCTAAACATTTTATTTACTTTGGTAAATTTCTAAAGCTGACGTTGTTACGATACTCATAATATGTTTACGATACTCATGAACAGCACATAAATGTGAGGCCAAGGCTTAGCGTAAAAGGCAAACTGCATGTGTAAAAAAAAAAAAAAAAAAAAAAACATTAGGCCTACATCATTGAAATGTTCAAATGCTTTGAGCTTGAGCTAAACAATGTAAATCCGGAAATGAGATCAACAATATTTTGGGTCCATAAATTATAATTGTGTCCGTTGTGTCAAAAAAGTCATTGCAATGATTTCTTGTTCTCCTTATCCATCGCTTAACATTCTTTCACTTTTTGACTGAGGTTTTCCACGCTTCGCAAATCTCGACTATAACATGTGCTTTTCATGTTCATTACACTGACATTTTAATGCTTGTCAAGAACAAGAAAGGGCTAATAATAAGGTATTTTCTTATTCAAAAAGGGAGAATCAATTATGTTAATTTGTATTATCCAATAGTCTGACATCTAGGCCTACTCCCGTAGATAATACATTTGACAGCCTGCTATCTAGCTGTCATAATTCGTCTGCTGTTAAAACTTTAAGCCAATCAGAATCTTTATACATGTGCTCTGCGTGGTATGCGCTAGTGCTTCCGGTAACCTAAACACACTTACCTAGCTTCTCGTCAAGGTGTAGGATTAACACCTTTGTAACTTAACCTATAACAATGAGATGAAAGAAACAGTGAACAATGGCGAAACAGTACGATGTACTGTACAAAGTACTTCTTGTCGGAGATTCAGGTGTTGGGAAAACGTGCTTGATATGTAGGTTCGCTGAGGATGAATTTCATAATGACCATCTCTCTACAATCGGTGAGTATATTTAAGTAAAACACACTTGCACTCCACTTTTGCTTAGCTGACTTTCTGGTTTCGGTTTCACAGAAATGGCGCAGCTACAGTGTTATTCGTTTTGACAAAGCACATTGGACTTACACATATACATGTACCTGTACAGTATGTGGGTCAAATAAGAACTTAAAGAAACACATAAATTTTGATGTACATGTACTGTACCGTTACCGGTAAATCATTTCCATGTTCATATACAGGTAAGTTCCATTCATTTTTGGTGCCGGATACATATAACATGTGACTGTTCATATTACAGTTAAATTTATATTCCCCTATTTTCTGTTGAACTGACAATTAAAAAGCACAATCGATGACAATGGGCAACCTGTTAATTTGGGTACTTTTGCATATTTGATTGGTTTAATATTTTGCAGAATCGCAGTTGCTTCTATGGTATATTGTTATCTAACTTCATGAGTGTACTGGTAAATGCAAATTTAGATGTTTGGGGACTTGGAAGTGGAGGGGGAGAAACATTGCAAGAAACTTGGAAAAACAGATTGTGCTTTATGTGTACATCACTGAAAAAACTCTCTATGGGAGCCTCTTTAAAAAGCAAATGCCATTATAATCAGATAAACAGGTCATGTAAATATTTAATAGACTTTCCTTAAATCTGGAGAGCTGGTTTTATGTGGTTGTTTTTCTTTTCATACATCACAAAACCCAGCTTCGATGTATGCTTTTTAAGTAAACCTTGTCTACCTTATGGTTTTCTTTCTCTATTCTGATTACCTGCCGTCTGTACATAAATATGGCCCGAGTCTTGAACACAAACACATACTGACTTAAAAAGAGCTGTGCATTTTATATTTGAGTGGTTAGATATCATTCACGAGGAAAAATAATCCCCCATTAATATGGCACTTAGTCTGGGTAGTTCATCTTAATGATATTGTGCCTGTGGTTTTGATAAAAAACTATCCATTCTAGACTGTTATGTCTATAGTTCCATTCCATTTGATGCATTGCTTACTGGATATGACTAAGTTGATTCAGATTTCCAAGTAAAGTTACAGCATATAGCAATTATTTGTAAAATGACAACAACAACAACTTTTACCAACTTAAAATGAGAAGGGGGGTTAGGTATCAGTGAAGCAGGTAAAAGGTACCTGTCTATATATTCTCAGAGGTGAAAAGCAATTCATGACACCATAACGAACTAATAACAGTCTAATCATCACAACCTGTCTTGAATTGACGTGTTGACTATACACATCATTTTCATTATTGATAAATTATATGAAGGAAGTCTGGGTAATAGCATTTTAAGGTATGGTTTTCTATTGTGGTTGCCTTAAGGTATATTAAATGATTTGATGAAACTAAGAAAAAAATCATATATTAGGATATACAACTGTACTTTGCATATGAATCCTTTAAGTCATCTGTGCACTGTGTTATATTTTATGATCCTTAATAGCAAGGGTAATCAGCATGTTAAATTATGCATGTATTTCTATAATCATGCCAATGACAATGATTGAAAGAATTGTTCATTTGTTCGGAATTATAAGTACTCTGCATTCAGTGTAAAGCCATGTTTGACCCCATGACAGTGCCAGGGAAGTAGTCCACAGATAGTTCCATGTTCCATGTTGCCTAAATTATAATCAAGAAGCACTCTGTAGACAGGTTCAGCAGGCTTACTTTGCCCTAAGGATGGTGACATGTAAATTGGGGTCACCAAAACAGTGACACAATGAAAATCAGACCACTACAGATGTTCCCATTATAACTTTATTTTTCTCTTTAGATAAGTTTGATCCCCCCCCTCTAAGAAAATTAATAAATAAATAAAAATAATTACAAAAATCAGTTACAACCGAAAGGAAAAAAGTGAAATAAAATTTCTTATATCTAAACAATAAACACAGGTCATCTGAAAAATTGTATTGACTGTGGTTTTCATAGTTGTGGGCCTTTAAAAGGCCAGTTTTTGTGGTTTTGGCATTTAAAAAGAAAAAAAAAGAGTAGCCTGACACTTAAATGGGATGATCTATCTGTTGGTGCCAAGTGTCTAATTTCAAGATAGAGGAATTTCCACTTTTAATTCTAGTTTGGCACAGGTGACATCCTAGTCCAGAAGAAATCTATTGCATTTGTAACATTCCTGCATGCAATGTAATTGATTTGCTGTGTCGTAGGTTAGAAAGTCACCTCCATGAACTGTAAACAGAGTTTGTGTCATAAAATGGGCACCATCTGTTGTTTAAATTACTGATGTATAATTGCATTTTAAAACATGACAAGATGGTATCATGCCACATAGTTTATGTGGTAAGATGCATATTTAAAAAAAGCCTGTTTTATTTGAATACACGGCTGGCACACACTAAATTAATATAGCAACAGGTACCTGTTGCACCAAGTTATCTCCACAGCTGGTGAACAATAATAAGTGTGACACTAGAAAACAATGATTTACTGCTTGAAATGTCACAAATAGAGAATAGGATCTGAAGGTTGAAAATTGTGTGTATGGCTTTTATTTTATACTGCAAATACAAATACTGGGCAAGTATTGGCAAGTTATGTTATTGACCTTTAATTATTGATACCAGGGGCGGATCCAGAGTTATTTTCTGACAGTCTTCCAATTTATCTTTGTTGATCCATCCTCCATTTTTGACCGTCTTCCGACAGAAAAAAATAGATACCCGTCAATGTAAACTTGAAAATCTGACCGTCTTCCGGAAGACCCAGAAGACGGCCTAAATCCGCCCCTGGATACCAAAACTACAGAAATATTTGCCTTAATTGTTGTTGATTTAAGTCGGAGGTCACATTGAAGAGGCTGTTTCTTGTCTTTATTTGAATGTTGGAGTCAAGCTAAAAGTTGTTTTTACAATTTGCTTTGACTGGTCTGTCAATATGTACATTGTTGACTGTCAAAATCTAGTGTTTACCAAGTGAGAAGTCAACCTTATATGGCACTGTTTATTTATAGCCAAAAAGTACAATAGACATGGATCAAATTTTGCAATTACTTTTAGTTTAACTTGGGTTATGTGTGTGTCTGCATATGCAACTTAATTTAACTTTTTGCAAAAACTGATGTACAGTGGTGACTTTTTTCGAAGAGGATGCTATACCAATCTGAGTAACAATAATAATACTGCAAAACCACATACAGTACTAGTAGATTACTAACTCTGCATGTGGGACTCCTTATAGCTGATCCGTACATCTCCTAGTCGCTTTTTCTTCAGTCTTGTTACAAATGAATCTTGATCTTAAAGCTAGCTTTTTGCCACTTTGATGAACCACAGGTATGTGATCCTTCAGCTTTTCAATGTACGTTTACATTTCAGCAAGTTCATGCACTAAACTTGATTCTTTTATTCTCTCAGGGATTGATTTCAAGCTCCGGACCATTCTGTCTGATGACCTCAAAGTCAGAATTCAAGTTTGGTGAGTTAAAGGTCCATTTTATGTTGGTCTACTTAGATTACATGATTTTCAGCACTCGTATGAGGCAAAGAAATGTCAGTATGTCGCAACATTTTGCATTGAATGTCTGCTTTCTTCCCCATTAAGGGTGCACAGATTTATCAATGAGTACAGTGGACAAAGTTATCTTAGAGACAATTAGCTCTAGCTTCTCTTTTCTTCTATTTTGTTAAAGTTTATGATGCTTGGACCCTTTCATTTATTAAGTACCACCATAAAAATGATGTTATTTACAGCACCAGTGTCATACTATAAGCCTGTGCATTCATATTCCAAGTTTTCCATAAAAATACACAGGCATTATAATAATTATTTGTCTTATTTTTTCAGGGATACAGCTGGACAAGAACGCTATGAGACTATTACAAAACAGTATTATAGGCGAGCACAGGTATAAGCACCACTTAAAAGACTGTTTTTTAAACATCTGTTACATTTATAAGAAAATTGCATCTGTTAAATTCTTATTAAAAGTGCATCATCTTACTTTGAAATTGAATAATTTAAGTGACTGAGTTAAATTTTTAAGTACATTTAACACATATCTGGTATTGGGTTGAAATGTATGTGTAAATGAGCACTGAATAAGTATATTAACTTTTCCAGGGCGTTTTCTTGGTGTATGACATTACCAATCCTACTTCATTTTATAACATTACCAAATGGTTAAACTTCACACGGGAGGTGAGTGGAAATCAAGTAGAATGGTAAAATGATAAGTCAACCCAACCCAACACGTTCCTGGAAATATGACTTTAGAGGATGTTAGCTGTTTGTGATATATGCTATTCTGAAAAATGCAGAAAATTGCTCTAAGATCTGCTGCTATGATGAAGGGTTTGCTATTCCGAAGGGTTCACTAGGACAATGGTTCAATATTCTGAAAAAAGGATATTTAGGCAAAGCATGCTTTAGTTGTGTAATCGGGGAGTGTACATGCCAAAGAAACGTATTGAAGGAGGCTCTCTTTTATTTGCATTTTTTGCGATCTGCACAGATTTCACACATGAGTAATTCTTTAAGATAACAACTAAGAATTAAACTTAATAGCGCAACATAATGTGAAACTCACCCTCCTATTAAAACTTTTTTATGCATATTGAGTATTTTAGTGAAGAACAATGCAGTTTTTACAAAATAATTACCCACTGGCAAATTGTGTACTGTACTTTGTTGGCTATCTTTGGTTCTCTCTGTACCTGTACGCATATTTCAGAATAGCAAATCCTTATCATAGCCAACCTTTTTGAGAATATATGTAAAGGAGATCATATAGATATCTTCACAGTCTTAATTATTTATTTTTCAGAGCCACTGATATTTAAACCTCTGAGTGAAAATCATTTGATCTCGTATCTCTTTCCAGTTTGCTGACAGCAATGTTAGTGTAATGCTACTCGGCAATAAAAGTGATAAAGCAAAGAGAAGAAAAGTGACCAGAGAGCAGGGAATTAGGGTTAGTAATCATATTTAAAAAGTTGTGAAGAAGAAGGAAAGAATCTTGATCATTTCAATAAATAAACAATTTAGTCAGGAAGGTACTGTCCCCCAGCATAGCAAATATATTTGGTGGCTTTTGTTGATTGCTAGTTAATAGTTACAGATGTTTTTTAGAGATGCTCAGTAAGTGATATCATTGATCTTTTCACAGCTTGCCAGGGACCTGAATATAGAATTCTGTGAAACAAGTGCCAAATCAAGGGAGAATATTGATCTGGTAAGAGTAAGAGTATTGTGTGGTATGCCGTAATTTTGTATGCTCTAACATGTATAATTTTTGTAATGATTGAATCATATATAATGTTTTAAAATTTGCTTAGAATCATCATGGCATTTTTAGGATATGATTTTAAGATCTTAACCAAGAAGTTTTCCTGATTGATATATTTTGTATTTTTTTAATATAGTTTTGCCATGAATGAGTGTGACTTTGATAGGCTTTGAGAAATGAGTGGTTTATTGGAATAAATATATTATATATATTTTAATTATAACGTTTAATGTTACTGCTTGTTCCAACTCCTAAATTGAAATGTATTCTTTGTTAATTTCTTTCATATTAAATTTTATTTTACTGTAGGCCTTTGCAAGTCTTGCACAACAAATTACCAAGTGTCAAAAGGCTCGTGAGACTGTTTGTGTAGATCTGGACATGTACACAATTACAAACGACACTAGTCAGCTGATACAGAATGAATCTGAAGGGAAGAATAATTGGTGCTGTGTTATATTGTGATATAGAGGATAATATTTATTTTATGATGTATGACAGTTGTATTCAATGTGGCAAAAGAACACTTTTGACCAGAGAGGTAGAAAAGAAGTTGCATTTTTAACAGCATTCCTGACAGAGTTGGCTATGAAAATTTGGGGTAAATCTGTTTCAGAATCTTTTTTTATGATATGTCAGTTATGTTGGCTGTACTTAATAAGAAAGTAGTAAAGTTGAATAATTTTAAAACATTTCAATAAGAAATATTAAAGCTGAGATAACAGTCATTTCAAATGTAAAAATAAGCAAGACTTTATAGTGAGACATGCATGGTTCAAGCAAGTTCATAAGCCTAAAAGTCTTTTTTCTTTTTGCCAGCATGAGGGCTTTTTACCTCTGAAATTGCTGTCTTGTGATGGTATTTAATAAACCTCAGCTGACTCTAAACTGATTTTATCTCTCCGTGAAAGTTCTCTTCAAAAGTTGCCAAAATCTCAAAAACATGACGATTTTCAGTAAAAGTTTGAAAAACATGTTTCAGATGTTATTCTCTTCACTATTTTTAAATACTCTTTTTGTGGAGGTTGTTAAATAGTTGATAGAATCTCAAAAACATTTTAATGTTTTGAGAAAGTCATAAATGTAGAAATATATATATAGAAGGTGTTACTTTTAAAAACTATTTTAAAATATGGCTGTGGGGGTTTTGTATCTAAGGGATCTGAATCAAATGTGATATTTATTTTTTTATATTAACCAGGTGAGTTGATTATATATTATGATCACTATGCTGTAATTATTGGCATTTGGTGTAGGTTTAGGCATTGGAGACAGTTGTCTGCTTCCATATTACCAATTGTGCAATTAGACATTGGTGAAGGAATTTGTTAGGGTGGATCAGAACAATAATTTTTATCAGAATGAATTATCACTGGGTAGATTATATATAGGACTTATATTGACTCCCCAGACATTTTATTGTCAAGGGTTGGTCAGGAATAAAAACTATTTGTGAGAGTGGAACATTTTTAGTTAAAAATGGTTTTGAAAAAATGTTGATTGCTTTCAGCTTTATTAAACAACTGCTTAATCAAAATTTATTAGTATTTATGCAAAGCTTTGGAATGTAGGTATTTGTAAATACTGTGATTTTAGCTGGTGCTTTATATACATAATAATATGAATAGATAGTTGTGAGAATTGATATTTTATTTTTAAAAGTATCATACCACCTTAAAGATGTATTTTATTACTCTCTCTAGCAAGATCAAGTTCAGAAAGTGAGGTTGCTTTTTTCTCTATGCATATAATTGTTATTGTTTTCTTTTTGTTAAATTGTTATCACTCTTGATAAAATCTGAGAGTTTCATTCCTCAAAAGACATTCTTAACAAAGTTGTGTGTTGGTGAGGGTTTCAGCTTTTAATAACAAGTGCCAACATTAGTTAAAATGACCGCAAAACTGATTTAACTGCTGAATGTTTCACATTCCATATAATTAATAAATAAGCTTGTACAAAGTTTTTTATTAACTTGTTGGTATACACATTACTAGTACAGGCAATATGTTAAATTACATATATTTTTTTTCTGTATTGTGTAACCAAAATTCTCAGTCTGACTTTCAGAGTTAACTGGATACTTTACAATACCCTCTACCACAGATTGGTTTTTCACTAGAAACTCACAGATATGTCTCTTGCTAATTCATGAAAAAAATTCTACTCCATCGAGAGTTTAGAATTGATGTCATCACTCATTTGGCCTGTAGTATAAATTACAATGTAGATCTACCATCAGTATGCCATTAATGGAAGCGGCAGGGGCACACTGATACCAGAGGTTTATTCCCAGTTAACTCTAAAACTCGGGTAGAACTTCTCTATTGTAACGGTGTTCATTCCTAATGAAGCACATATACTCTTATTTGACATATGCTTAAAAGCTAAAGCATACAGCTGATTAATGGATCTCTAACTTTTAGATTACAATTTAAATATGAAGTGCAATTACTAGTTCCTGCTTTGGTTTTACGTCTAATAAAGGCATAAAAGAGGAAATTTCTTTTTTTTTCATGATGAAGAATTATACTATGAAGTACCTTAGCACACGTTCTTATATTTTCCTTTTTTTTTTTTAATTTAAAGTTATCTGAAATAATAGTTTAATGTCTAGTGTGGGTTAAATCTGCCGTTGTAAATATTATAATGGGTTTATAATGCATGAATCATTACACAGCTGTTGCAAAGATATATTCAGTGTCTCGCTCGTAAACATATTAATTTCAATGCGGGCTTTGGAGATGTATCTGATACCGTTGTGAAGTGGAACCAGTGTATCTAGATCTGTCGTTCATTAAATCGACCGATTGCGTTCAACAAAGATCAACTAAAGCAATATTACAGACTTAATTGCGCCCAAAGATCCCCAAAGCTCGTAACAGTGTCGATAGTTGTGAATGCGTGGGGTGAGATTAACCTTTTATTTCCATTTTCTGCTGTTACAAATTTTATAACTTAAAGTACTGAAAAATGCGAAAGCTTTCTAATCATTTTGGGTCCTTGAAACTGAAAGCCATTTGCATCGCAACGAAAATCCTAATAGTCCCCAACTGCTGCTTATGTTTTCGTAGGGAATGTTTTCGGCTAATGTAAGTAAAATGTAATATTTAATGCTCAAATCGGATCCAAGTGAACATTATTACTTTATTTTATTTCAATATCATCTTAGTTTATTTCATCTTTGTGACAACAAGCCGTCTTCAATTGAAATCGATAGGAATATACCAAAGGTTGTTTCGTCATTTAAAATGTGTTCAGTGTTGCAAAAATCTTTTTAAACGAAAGAAAAACACAAAACCATTTTCCATCAAATAAATATTTTAATAACGTTTTAAATAACATTTGATTAAATAGTTAATAACAATCCTCACATGTTCCCATGTCCCAGCAGTCGTTATTTATTCAACGCCAAGGAAAAGGCACTCGGTTTGAATTATTGATATATTTCACGCGTAGCACGTCTAAGGCATTNCCCTCCCCCCTCGGTAGCTTCGCCCCCTCGTGTCCGCTTACTGCCCCCCCTGGCATTTTGCTCAGGCTACGGCCCTGATTTCACGCGTAGCACGTCTAAGGCATTAGAAAATAAAATATGACTTAGATATGAATATTTTGTAGCTTATCACTTCCTTTATCAATGAATTCTTGAAATTCAATTCATGAAATGACCCAGTGGATTTGTTCATAATAGTAACCTTGGTAATAGGGCTGTAAGAATAGGGAAACGAGCGTTGAAATTCAAACCACAAGACAAAATATCACAGGTAAATAAATAATCTATCGACAACCACATTCGTCAACAACCATATCTGAATGATGCCGTACAACTATCTCATCGTGCTCGTAATACAGCATGCTGAGAGGTTTCAGTTTCGTGGGCACACAACACGGCATGGGGACATCATCAGGATGGACCCAGCTGACCAAACCCTGCATAATGGCGTGGTTGCTGGGTGGGGTGGTATGGGATTGGTGCGGGCGGCACTGTCCATAACAAAAATGAGCGTTAAAACGCTTCGGGAACACGATCCACTGATCCCACCCAATGTCACTGAAATCTACATAAAAATCATGCTTTGTGCAGGGACTTATCTCTGTGGGGTGTTTGTATTCAGTCCTGTTCTTCCTTCTGTCTTTGCGCTTTCTTCCACGCCTCCCCTTTCGCCCGGTGAATTTTGACTCCGGCGCAGAGCGAGCTGGCCTGGAATTAGCGGCTCTCTGGAAGTTTTTGAAAAATGCGTGGTCTTCTGAATACACCACTATGACAGCTTCCTTCGCTTTGCTAAGGGGAAGAATGCTTGCAGATTCCCCTAAGGCACGGAGTTTGAGATACACGTCTGTTGCAGTGATATTTTTGATGCTGGAAAGGCACTTCTTTATCAGAGGAGTTATCGTAAAAACCACATCTCCATTGACTGTTCTTCTGCCCGGTGATCGCTTTCTTTTGATGAAATCCAACTTTTCGCCCGCAGAGACTTCTATGTCAGTTTTGTACTTGGGCAGAGAATCATTGGCGATCTCGTGTGATGGAATACGCAACTCGACCAGTCTTATGTGCTCTTCTTGTGGAATGTGGAATTTGCTGAGGACGAATGTCACCTCACCGGCATCGTCATCTGTCTGGTTTCCTAAATATTGAGAAGAATAGAAATTACAAATATATTCATTTGATATTTGTGTTCAATTTTTTCGCTTTTTATAAACTTGGGGTTTCGTCTTTTATCAAAACTACGCGACGATTTTTTTACGTGGGCCAAGGACCCATCACACTAGTTTTATGGGTCCTAGGATGGTTGATGAAGGACTGTGAAAAGGTGAATATCGTTGTCATTCTCTATATCATGCTAATGAGGAGAGGCTTTTCCCACTTCATCAACCAAGTGAGATGTATCCAGTCTTCAAGACCACCAGCACACTGTATGCACAGGATTGTTGACTAGCCTAGGTGTGAAACAGGTGGTATTACCGATAACACGTTCTAATCTTCATCACAAACTAGATTTTAAACTTTTAGATTTTAAAGCAAATTTATTCTTCTCTTATGCTTTGAACTTCCGTAAATGTCATCTTTGGTGGTCGAATAGGATAATTAAATTATTGAAAATCGAAAATTTTGAGGTCTGATCTCATCGCGGTTAATAATCAATTGTACGCATGTTTTGGACTTTTTATTCAAAAGTTCGTCTGCTCGTTTAGATGTGAAACTGTTCAACGCGATATGCACGGTAGGGCTCGTAGGCCAATAGGCAAATCAATTTTCGTGAGATCATAATTAACAGTGAATGAGAGGGGTCGATTTGAAAATTAAGTTCTCCCACGTTCATATAGTTAACTCCTACAATCGCATTGCTTAACGTAGGTTGTATGTGATTAATTATATCAATATTCAGAAGATGGCAATTTACACTAAATAAAAGGTCGATATTTCATTCGAATATTCGACCGTTAATTAGAAAAATTATCTTATTAACAAAATCAAATAGGGCACGTATATCATGCAAAAATCAATTTTCAGTTAAATACTAATTACATCAAAAGTAAGGGTCGATTTTTAATTAACTTCACAATACACCTGATGAGAAAATCTTTCCTGAATAAGACTTCCCTCCACATACATAGTGTTTGTGATGTACATTTGTCGGTATGCACCTCGAGCTACCTTGATAACCAGGTCCGTAGCCAAGAATTTCAAAGGGGGGGGGGGGGTTTAAAAAAAGTGGACCTTTTACCACGAAACCTTCGTGTTACAAGATCAGTTTTTACCCAGAGCAGACCTTTTCCCCGGCAAAAAGGAAGACTCGGTCGAACCCCCAGAACTCCCCCCCCCCCCCGACTATGTGCCTGATAATAATAATAATAATAATAATAATAATAATAATAATAATAACCTATTTAGCTTTAATGTTATGTGTTAACATTGTTGGCTTTCTGTGATATTTTTAATACTTCTGCTTCTTTACTCTACAAAAAGTAAGTAGTTTAATTTGTCAAGTAAATAACTATCAAAGTGTGTAATTACAAAACGTTTTGAAAATAATTCCATTTATGGATTTATCGGATGCATTCTTCCCGGATTAACAATTTAAATTTAACAAACTGATTCGTTATAATTTCTATGTTTACATGGTAAGTTGAGTTTCTGTATTAGTCCCGACATTTGACGAATAGGAACGACATCAATAAAACCAATTATTGCAAATTACAGTATTTGTTGACTAAAAGGAAGTCAATTCATAATTAACTTAACAATTAAGTCAGGTCAATTGAATAAAAAAACACGTGCAAATTATCCGAATATTAATACAGTCGACGTGATCTACACCCATGAAAAACTCATCGTCAAGCTATTTTGTGTCTGCAAATGATGTTTGAAATGGATTTTAATTTCAATGTAGTAAGGATTCAACCAAAATTGAAGTAAAAGTGACTTTGAGTGGAATCCATAGACGATTGCAGAGTTTTGATTTCTATATCATATCACGGTAATAGACATTTCTACGGCCACTGCCTGTTGCCTTATAGTTGATGCTATTGTATTCGTCATGTGTGTAAAATCGCGTGTACGTTAAGAAAACACTTGAAACATAAACAAACGTCAGAGGGAGATTTTCAATGAAAATTAAAAATTGTTACCTGATGCAGAAAAGCTTCTGATGGTGTCCGCAAAAGCTATGCCCTTTTCGACATCCTTATGACCCGATGCTTGTGGTAAGCTTTGTCCCTCCTGTAAATTTTTAAACACATCTATTAAAAATTTTGCATTAGCGCGTGTATAGCTCATGACCAAAACGTCATTGGAATTAAGAAGTATATCATCTGGATTAGATGCGCCTGTTGTCTTGTATCTGGTCGCGCATAAAAGGGTCAAAATCACGAGAATTGCCTTTGCAGAGATGTACGACATTTTCACTTCCGCGAGTGACGTCTGGAACGAGCTCAAGATTGCAATTAGACTGTCTGGGAATATTGCGAAAACATTTATCCCCGATCCTTCCGCATCATTTGCTTACGGAACCTAAATTGTTTTGACAATGGCCAAAATGCTCCTACTTATAGTGCGGATCATAAGCCGTATTACCCCTTGATTATGCAAATTTTGATACCCGTATCTACTCGATTGTTTATCGATTAATCTACTTTATTGTTGTGATTCAGCGCACTATGTGAGACACGGACGGACGGGAAGAAAAGTTTTTATTTTCTTTAAACCACTGACAGAGAAAAGGGGAAACTTAAGAAGCGTGAAATTTAAATAGACTGATGAAACCCTATCCTCATTAGCCTAACAGGCATCCCGCAATCAAAGCAGCCATAGTTTCCACCTGATTCAAGGCACCCCACCTGGGAAAACAGGGGTCCCGCCCTCTCCATTTCCTAGATCAGCGAACGCTTTGTCGCACTGTTTACTGAAAACAGCTGCACAGCACTTCCCACTCAACCATTGTGCTTTTTTTCAATTACGCGTCCACTGAAAAACAAAAGCGCATTTTGCTGTATACCTTTTTTTAGCTCATGCACAATTCCACAAGGCGGGACTGTATGGCAAAGTGATGTCAAGCGTTCTCATCAAGGGCAAGTTTGTTTCACCCGAAACTAAATAAAGGACACACTTCAAGCTCTCAAGCCCGGTGGTCAGAAGTGTACTTAAGAGTGCATTAACTGTCATAATTCCATGGTTCTACAAATAAATTAATTACTGTGACAACATAAGAACTTAGAGCCTATTAAGCAAGGGGGGCCAACTCCGTAGAGACCTCCCAACGTTGGGATAATGCACAGGATCAACAATCAGATAAAAGAAGTACAACATGGCGAGAAATATGTGCAAATAACGTGTGAAGATATTGTGTCAATCCCATATGGGACTCTCTTTATCACACTAAAGCAGATGAAGTGCCAACTCAAACTGATAAAGAACTGCTATGAAACTGATTTTTTTCTTGAAAGAAAATAGCTTTTTATGTTTTGCTTTGTGTAAAAGAACCGGGCTACCGCCATCAAGTACAAGTCTTAATAGTTTTAAGTCTATAAAATAGCACAAAATAGTTGCACATATGCAGATGTGTCCTGCAAAAAAGGTACATTGTAAGTCTCGGATGTGTATTCTATTGATATCTGCTAAATAAAATGAAACTCCGTTTAAAACCACTTTCAAAGGGAACACCAAAATAATCATATGAGACTCAAAACACAAATTTGAGAAACTAAAATTTTCAGTGAGACCAAGCTATTTGCATTACCGCGTATTTGACGTGCGTCATTAAAATCATTCTCTTGTGATCCCTTCGTTTTTTTACTACTTCATTCCGGGTATTCCCTAATTAATTCATATAATGTAGACGTTTTGAATTAAACTTTGCTTAACAAACTAAAAAAATACTGCTTTTCATTTTTAACAAAAATGATTAAAATCAACCAGCGTACTTTTTTAATAGACGTACCTATTTTGGCATGTCACATGTACGTAATTAATTATTAAAACTCCCTTTCTCTGAAATAAATCCAATCAGATGTTTTTTCATTATAATGTAGTATGTGATGTCGTGTTTCGTCCTTCGCCGTACCAGTACAGCTGTATTAAGCAACGATCACGTGAAATACACCTCACGAATTGTTTACCTAGTTACGTTGATCCATGCCCATATTTTCATCAATGGTTTCGTACCTTTAGCACAGATCTATTCGTCTGGGTCACGGTGACATGATGCAGAAACTACAGCAGGAGACGGTCCAATGTCATACCCCGGTAAATGTGTATCCCCCAGTCGTCCTCGACAAAAGGTAATCTCTGTCCAGTTAGAAAGGTTTGCAAATTTTTCATTTTTTTCTGGTCATTTGTTTATTCATCATTTTATTTAATAATCCACTGTCATCAATTCCCAAATATTTGTTGTAAATTTGCACTTGGAGGGCAAAGATAACATTCAAATATTTATCCATACAAATTTAATCACAATATCTTATCTACTAGTAAAATAACTGATAAACGATTGCTGTATAATTTGATTATAAAGACAATTCAGTGTATTGAAACATTTAATCAATCACAATGTTACAGAAATATATATTTTATTCACATTCAAACAAAATACAAATTTTGTAAAGATGAACAGCAAGTAGAACCTACTGTACATGTAGTAGACAATGAATCTCTTTGCAAATCAGTCAATTATGCATACGAAACAGTAATAAAAATAATTTGACATAACAGTATAATCCAAAAGTGAAATCAAATACCAAATCATGGTAATAGTTGATCATTTACGAGACTCATGTTTCATAATAAAGAATTCCTCTGTGTGGAATGAAAATTTAAGCAAATTTGGCAATGGGAACATGTCATCAGTTCCAATGCAAATGTCACTTCAGTGTGAAAGATTGCTCTACTGGGCCCCATTTCATCAACACTGGATAGTGGTTATCCTATGGATAACACTATCCTTTGGATAAAATTATTATCCACTGGACAGTTATCTTGAGGACAGCAGCCTTTTTTTAACCACTGGAAAGCAATATCTGAGACAAAAATAAGAATTTGCTGTTAACTAAACATTACTTTACCCACAGCATAATTGCCCAGAGGATAACAATTTAATCTGATGGATAGTGTTATCCACAGCATATAGCGCTATCCTGTATTGATGAAACTGGGCCCAGGGGTGCACTTACAATATTATACTCCACAACTCATACTGATGCTTGTTCAACTCAATGATTTCCTTTCCAACAAGTTCCTACCACTGGAATATCTCAACTAATAATCAAAAGGAGACACAGTGCAGGCAACTTATACTTTGTATTTCACAATAAGTACTGTTTTCTCATTCATCTTTTTAACTATTTTACAAAACCACTTTTAAATATCTTTAAAAGATGCAATATGCCCTGCATATTGCAAATCACAGTAAATGTTTGGAAGATTTTTGAAAATCATACACCCTTTATAAAAGCAGCTAAATAGTCAACAGCTGAAAGGGTGTAAATCAGTCCATTCCTGCAAATCCAAGTCCTTTCAACTAATATGGTGACACTATCAGAATAGCTGCCTCCCACTCTCTTATTTTCCTTGCTGATAAAGAAGTATATCTGTAAAAATAGCCTCTAATAGAATGCAGAATCCAACAACATACAAAAACCACATTCTTTCTTTGGGAAGCTCACCTTGGCGAATGAATACAATCTGAAATACAAAAATACAATTTAAATTCACACATGAAAAAAAGTCTTGAAACTTGATTTTTGCTATAGAATATGTACTGTAATGTATTCCAGTCATTTTATAATGGTAATAAATTCACTACAATTTAATATAATATAATATAATATAATATAATATAATATAATATAATATAATATAATATAATATAATATAATATAATATAATATAATATAATATAATATAATATAATATTGCTGATGGATAAATATAACTGCAAATTGTAACATACTTCAGCTAGGGTCAAAATGCATACTATTTATAACAAGGAAATACTTCATCCTCACCAAAATCACTTCAATAACAGCAAACCCCAGCAGGCTTATTCCTAGCAGCAAGTACACACCAGTGTTCATGGGGACTTGGACGCTCTGAGCAATACTCAAAATAATGCTTATCTGAAATATGAATAGGAAGCATTCATACTTTTGGTTCTGAACATAATTTTTGAAGATATTCTTTAAATTAATTCATTAAAGACAGAATTAAGGCTGATTTTTCCAGAGGAGGTAACTTCATATATTATTTTTTTAACAATTATGATTTACCAGCTTCACACCAAAGTTATGAAACTGGTCACAAACTTCTGAGAGCAAAAATGATATTGTATGTATCACATAATTTAAATCTGAGAAGACATATATATAATATAATATTAATCTTACCAAAACCATCAGCACCACAAGAGACACAAATGTAAGTTGCAAACCCCTCTGAAAGCAAAAGAAATACACTTCAAAAATGTAAAACTTACTAGCAAATATCTTAATCATGGCTTAAGAAGTCTCAAAACTGCACTGCTAGTGTCTCATATACCGTCATACTTGTTCATTTTCACCCGACTTTGAACGTCATTTGACGGTGAACGGTCACTGTGCTACATGTACAGTACATATGTAGTTTAAGTTACCAAGTAAATATTGGTGACATGTAGATGATTAAAAAGAGTAGAAACTCAAAGAAAGTGTGGCATGAAAATTCACGTGTTATCACAAACAGTACAAATCTGAGATAGTAAGTAAGAGTGTTAACACATGAATGTTTGTTCTTCTCAACCGGGTCACATGTCATTATGAACTTCCGCATATATAAGAACTTTTAAAAGCACTTTGTCTTGCATGGGGTTTGATATAGCGTGTATTACCATTAGAGGAGTCTGCGTACTGTCATGATATAGCGGGCCTGCAGATGTAGCTTTACCCGCGCCGACGATCTGAGTTTTCTCTGTATCCGCGTCCATTTTCAGCTGACAGCGGAACAACTCCTTGACATCCCTAGTCCGCCGGAAGATGTAGCTGTCAACCAAGCCAATCCAGTAACTAATCAATTAAATTTAGTTAATGTTGATCAGTTAAAGCTGCAAATAAATATTGTTTATTATGCTTAGTAATAAAATAATGTCTATTATTAAATAAAAACGGTATAAGATACAGTGTTTTGATACAATCTGCTGTTTGACTGTAGTGACATCTAGCGATGAACTGGAGTGTCATGTGATATAAACATCAACTTGATCAAGGTATCAAGGTGTGATGTTCAGAGTTGAAGCGGTCGTTATAAAAGTTACTAAAAATGGATGAAACTGCTGTCCCAAAATCTACAGCCAAAGCAACATCAACAGATGTAAATGCCATTTACCACGACGTTTCACCAACACTTGTGAGTACAACCCCGTTGCTAGAGAGTAATTTTCATCATTTGATTTTAAATACAGGAAATTTTGACAAAATTTTTGGAAGACTTATATTTGCGTTTATCAATAGATTTAGATTGTTTGTTTAGATATCTAACTAATGGGAAAATGCTGCATGACATATAAGCCGGGGGTGGTTCATATATATGCTGTACTGTATATATCACAATCTTTTTGAAAAATATTAAAAGAAATTTAAAGTTTTTAAATTAAAGTTGAAATCTGAATCAGGAAGTTGCCCAAATTAAGCATAAACCAAAAAATTAACTCAGTTTAGAGGGGCGAATTATTTTGTATCGAGTCAAGGGGAGTAACACTATTAATTGACATCATGAGACAAAATTTCAGTGTTGAAGACATAAAATTATATATATACTGTATAATAGTAAAAAGAGGTAATTAATGGATTCATCCACCCTTAATGAAAACAGAGCAGTGATTTTGTAAATGCTTTTGTATATACTGTAGGTATTTGACATAAAGCATGAAGTCAGAGGGAAGAATATCTAAGACAATTATTTGTGCTATATGACAGTAAGATGTAAGTTTAATGACTATATTCAACTGACAGATGTACGAGTAAAATCTGAAATTTATTTGTAGATTTATGGCTCAAAAGTGTTTGGTGTCGTGACATGCCTTATGGTTATAGTAAGTATTATTATTCACTTTCAATGTGTTTTTGTAACATGTTAAAATTATAGCATTGTCTCTTGCTGTTTGAATGTGATGGTAAAATTTCAGCTTGTTTATACCTGATTTTTTTTTAATTTATAGAGTGATGAATTTTTTAAAGTTAACATGTTGCCATATAATGATATTTCTAAAATGTACTATTATCATATTAACTTTTTCTATGGTGCTATCATAGATGTTTTTCCAAGAGTAATATGAATCATTATTAATTAATTTTAATTTTGGAGCTTTAAAATAATTTAGTGTTAAGCTTGGTAGTCGGTACAAAATCCACATTATTATCTTTCAGATTGCTTTCATTATCTGTCTGGTGACTGGTGCTAAAAACAATACATTTTACCTGATGGCTACAAATTTATTAAGTAAGTACTGTAGTTAGTATTTGAGTTATTATTATTATTATCTAGCTGCAAACAAATTTTACATAGTTCAAAGATACAGTAAAGTATAAATTAAAAGTGAAGTTATATAAATGTGCATTTTTATTTACAATTATACATTTCAATTAATATGGGATGATACTGCCATTTAGTGAAAAAGTTGGAAAATAAGGGTCCACCTAGGCCAATGATAATTTTGACTCCCAAAAAATAAAAAATCTGCCGGTAGTCAGAAAAATATCATCCATGTATACATTAGAAATTGATATTTTAAAAAACTTGCAAAGTTAAAAAAAAGGGAAAAAAATCATCAAAATCTACCTTCTTTGTATGATAATCGTTAGGTGTTTTGAAATGCAGTAAACTTGTACAAATTGAAGTTCCTTGCCTATTGCAATCTTGTATTTTATCAAGATTAATGATTTTAAATTACAAAAATACACTTTATTACATAAACACCATTTATGAAATATTTCAGATATCTGTTACAATTGTTACTGATGAAAATTTATTTTATTTTTAATTTAGTGAATAGCAATTTTAGGTACATTAACTCTTTTTTTAACTTTCAGTAAGTACTTTTGTTGGAGCTGTTGTGGTAAGTTTCTTGAATACATAATAGGAAATTGATCTCATAATTTTGTTCCTTTAATTTTGAAAAAATTTGTAACAGTTTCTCTTATTATGTTATACATGCTATTTCATTATTACAAAATCTGTATGAGCAAACCTTTATGCATGATTACATTTTGTGTTTTGCATTATTTTTTTAGTTGTAATGGTGTTGTATTTATGAACTATTATTTTTTTAAATTTAAATTGTATTGACATTTTCTTTCCTTCATTTGAAGACATGGTGGTATAGGAAAGGTGACCTGGTAGGTACTTTACGTGAACTTGTGTTTCCATGTCACATTATAAAGAATTTATTTAAGATCAATTTTTAGACATTTTTTCTTCAAGTAGGTACCATATAGATGTTTTATCTCAAAAATAGCAGATAATCTTGTTCTCCTCTAAACTTGAAAAAATAGTTTCATCTGTTTTTTTCCTCATTTTTTTTCAGGCTTCAGATAAAATCTGGTTCATTATTTTGGTGTGTGCAGTGATAGTCTTCCAGTGCATCACCACAGAAATCTACGTTTTCAATGTTCAGTATGTACACAATGACATTCCCACCCCAGCGCCCCCTAGGATCAATACAACTGCTCACCATAACATGACAACAAGACATATGATGCAGCAAGATGTCACAACTGTTCCTAGTTTTTGAAAAATCACTTTTGATGTCTAAGAAATCAATTGGCTCAAGCTTGTATGCACTATTAAAACCAACTGCTGAAGATCATTAACTTTTTTCCATTTTATGATACAGCACGAGATGCTTTTGTAGTTCATTCTGCACTTTTTCTGTGCACAGAGAAAGATTTCATTTTATTCTTTTCTATACAAGTTGAAACTTACTGTCATACACTTGTGATTTAGTATTTAATTGTAAATATAATTATAAATGTTTATGTTAAAAAGCTTACAATAAATGTGTAGTCAAATATCTTGACTCTTTTAGTAAATTACAAATAGCTAAATGGATAGTTTTATTACATCTTCATAATGTTGAGTACCAAAGATAAACCAAAATGTGTGCTTATTTAAAAAGTGAAACTTAAAATAACTTAGTGTGCCAATTGAATTAAACTTTGTTTTCACCTAATTATATCCCATACAATTTAATCGCAACTCTATGACAAATCTTTTTGAAGGCAATTTCACTCGTGTTATATCTTGAATAAAAAGTTGGCACATGTACTCACCTGCCACTTTGTTTGTACCATGTCATTAAAAGTTGGACTAATCAACTGGACAGCAAACATGTTCTATGAATTCTTTTAGACTAATGAACTTCATTAAGATTGTTTCAAAATCCTTCTGTGAAAACTTAACATTACAACAAATTCATATTACAAATTTCCATTTCTTTTAAGTATAGTTTTCTTAACTTCCTCAAAGCAAGGTTTGAAAGATTACTATATATGTCCGTCTTCCTAAAATAATAAGACATACCTTTATCACTGAAATTGTGAGTGCACCTTTGATAAGAAAATGTTAATATGATCCTTGAATTTTCCAACAGATTGTTTATATCAAAAACCATTTTACAAATTTAAAGCTAGCAGATTTTCAAAGGTTTCCTTAAAAAAAAAGAGCCTTACTGTAATATTCACAGTTTAAAAAGTATTCCTAAATAAATACAATGGGTAACATAAATGTAACATTAATGATTTCAATATTTGTGATGGTCCTATACACAATTCTAGTTGAAAAGACACAGCTAGTCTATATAAAGTACATCCCATATACAAGGAATTATCTTCACTCTGAAGAAATCCACCTTCAATCCAGGTTATTCCTCAATGAATGGAGAACTATCTTCAAATACCTCATCCATCACATCCTCTCCTCGTGGCTGTAGACGACGCTAAAATAGGGAAATAAAATGTGACATTACTGTGTTATCATGAATTTTGTTGAAAGCAGCAACAAAAAATGGGGCGCATTTGATTACACCAGTCAGTGTTTAATGATAGATCCTCAAAGTTAAGATCCCTATCAAATTACAAATAAGTAACGATTACAAGTCCTGAATTAACTTTAGGACTACTGTACCTGAGGAATTGATGCTGGGATTTGACTGCAACTGCTGCTTCTGTAACCTAGAAAAAAGATTAAACATATGTACAACCATGGGCTGAGGCTTGGATAACTTTTGATTTAACTGAAAAACATATTGTTAATTTCAAACATCAATAAATGGTAGGAAATTGTATGCAGCTGCTTCCTAATCTGCGCTTAATGTAATCTTGTATGTATTTTACTAAGCCAAATTAGACATTGTACCTGAACCATGATAGCTTCTAGTGGAGCCACAAACTTCACACACAGTGCGTGAGGAGGCGTTGAGATATGTGCAGCTCTGGCAAGGCCACTTATTCTGTGATGCTGCTGACCCTGTGCTGACACTGCGTCCACCAGCCATTAAGGGCCCAGACTGCTGGATATTCTGCATGTCACGAATCTGGCGCTCCAGTAATCGGACCTGATCTCTTTTCAAAGTAACTTCCTCTTCCAAGTCTTCAACCTGAGAGAACATGTGTTACATTTTATTGAATATTATTAAATTAAGAAGTATTGGTCATAAATATGTTGTGCTACACTAAAAGTTGAACACTTCTCTTGATGTTCAACTAAATTCCCCTTATGATGTCATGATTTTCTAATATCATTTGACTTACCTTCTGATCTCTATTTGTCAATTGCTCTTTCAAGCGATCACTTGCTTCTTCTAAAGAAATTTTCTCGGCTTGAATCCTTTCTCTGTCTCGTCTCTCTTGCTCAAAGTCTTCCCTGAACATGGCAACCTGTAAGGAAAAAATGAATCTATTATCAGTCATACTTCCCAATTGTTCCTATCAATATGAGCATGGTCTTAATTTTCCCTTTTTAATAATGAGTATAACATTTTTAAGAATGCCATTATGTCATTTCTTTAAAAAAAACATGCACACTAACCTGCTGTAGAAGTGCTGTGATTTCATTTCTCATAGACTCAACATCAGAGCTGCTGGCAGACCCAGTTTGAATCTGTGGGAAGTTGATTATGAAACACTAGGTATGTGCAGATAATGTCAATCTAGCTATTTTTTTCAATCATCTATTTGAGGTTTGTATGAGTACAATCTCCTCCATGGGTCTTAACAAATATATCTCTTTAACCAAATTCAGATAATGATCACCCAAAAGTGAACCATCCTACAACATAGTATTTTCATGTACAAAGTTCAAAATACAACTATTTCTTTAACAGAACCAGTCTCTTAGAGTGATAGTCAACACAAGTCTTGAAAATTTTGAGAAAAAAATAAAAAGACAAATAGACAGAGATATCTAACCTTGTTCCTCCTTGCGAGTCCATCCCAAGGTTTACCCTCTCTCCCAGTTTGCTGAACACCACTACCAATGACACGCAGTTGTTCTTCAAGAGTTTGTCTCTTCTGTCTTTCTAAGTGCAATAACTGCAACGCTTCCTCCTTTGCAGTCTTGATGAAGAATAAAAAATGCATGTTTAAAGACATACAATCAAATTACAGCTAATGCAAAAACTATTCAGTCCATATTTTAGTTGATGATTACAATACAAATGTGTAAAGCCTGGGTTCACTTTCCTATTGTCAACTTTAATTCCACCTTATATGTGTTATATAAAACAAAAAATTCAAACGATTCAAGCTCTTCAAAATCTACCCTCACCTCCTCAATTTCTGTTCTCTTTTTTGCAGACAAAAGTAAAGAATCAATGTCTCTCTGCCTCTTGCCCTCCATGCTGACATGTGCAGCCAGTTGTTGTTGGGCTTCATTCAACTGTTGTCCTAGCTGCAGCACCTCTTGTTGGTATTCTTGCTGTAGTTTTCCATAGTCTGCTGACCATTTGTGGTTTACTTCAAGCAACTGCAGAAAAGGAATAAGGGAAATCCCTTAAACATGCTGTTGTAACTGTATTACATGAGTAATAATATCCCTAACAAGAAATGAAATACTGACTGGTGAATGACCTGCTTAAGCCCCCTTTACACTGGATGGTGTCCTTTCTGAATTCTATAGTATGGCCCCATTTGAGAGTTAAAAAAATAATACTTTACGTGCAGATTACTGGCGAATCATTGAGCATTCATTCTGCAATCAAAGGGGTGCTTGTGCCTCCTTTCTTCGACCACAGCAATGCCAGTTTCATGGTCACACAAAAAGGGATGCAGAAAGGATACTGCCCAGTATAAGGTTTTAGTTATCAACTAAAAGTTGTTGACTTAATTAATAAAATTTCGTCACATTTATAAGTATTGTATGAATATGCATATTCTTATTTTTCCAGCAAGTTTTCAGTTCTGATTTTCCCCCTGCAAGCGGAATGTTGTTACCCACTATTACTATTGCCATGCTTAACTGCCAAAATTAATCAGCTCTTAATTATTTTCCCCTCTTCTACCCCATGAAAAGAACAACAGAATTTGATTTGTAAGTTTACCTCATTTCTCTGGCTGACAATTTTTGCAAGTCGTCGCTCCAATGCTTGCACCTCTGTATGAGACTGCTACAAAAAATGATAAAGATGATGATAAAAAATTAATGTTAAAATAGATAACACAGTCTTGGTTCATTGTTTTTAGCTTATCAATGAGGACATATTTGAAAATGTTTTAACATAACAATTCCATGAAAACTATCTGTACTCCCACTGACAGCTCAATGTGCTAATACTTAAACTGAGCAATCTAAAGGAAGCATTGCTGTTTGAGTGATGCAGCATCATGATATTCTACCAGTCAAACTCTCGTACAGTGAGAAGAAATGCCAAAATCCAGTTCATGAAGACCACTTGACTTAGCTTCACATATGGTTTTAACTTAACTTAATCTTACCCTTTGAGCTTGTTCCTCTTCAGATTCTCCTTGCTTGGTAACCGTAACCCAATCATCAGATGCCAGTGAACTAGTAGACCGTGCATGCCGTTCTTGCTGAAGTTTGATAACTGTCTGCTTCAGTTTACCATTCTCTTGCCTTTAAGACAGAGTCAGAAATGAGCAGTTGTTCAGTCAAATATTTCTAAAGACAAAGTTATTTGCATTTAAATTAGTGGACTCTACATCTATTTTCAGATTTATGCAGTATATGTGTAACACATTAATTATCATTTATCTTGAATAAATCTTGTGGAACTGTTTTTTTTGTCTTCCTTTTGTAGCAGCTGAAACTCAAAAATTTTTTCTATCTTGAATCAAACAAAATTTTGATCAAGCTTAAAAAACTCATCTCACTCAATTATCAGTTCATAAATTCTATCACAACCTGCATCAACCATAGTTTATATCACTAACCTCAATTCGTTTATGGTCCTATCCCTTTCAGGTATCCTATTTTTCAAGTCACTGTTTTCAGCAGATAGTGCCGATACAAGGCTCTGAGATAAAGACAAAGAAGTATTGTTCACTAACTGAAATGCAACTAAATGTTAATCATTAGCGTATGTTGGTATAGCAAGCAAATGTATTCACACTGATAATTCTGATTTGTTTAAAACTGATTAGATAAAACTTGGTCTGCAAAGGAATTGGATAATCTTTTTTTTTTGGACTAGATTTATATTACCTAATTATACATTATAACCGAATACAAGGCATTCCTACTCTTGTGTGTATAACCTCCTCAAGAAAAATAAAACTTGGTTGAGAAAATCTGAAAATTTCAAATTCCACATATTAATATAACACGTCACATTTAAACCGACTTCTCAAACATATGTATTTTGCAATTTAACTTAGGCAATCATTTTCTCACCTTGTACTGTTTGTTCTCTTTTTCTACTTTAACCATGTGAAGGGAGATCCTGGCAAGGTCCATGGCAACACTTGTTTCATCTCCATTTCCAGTAAATTTGTGGAGAACTGTGGCAACTTGAGGCACATGCATTGATACCTCAATGCTTTCTGGTAAGGACAATGTCCTTCCAGACTGGTGCAGAGACTGAAATATAAAATGATTTTCACTATAAAGATTAATAACATAACAAAGTATCAGATACATATATGCAAGTCAATCAAAGTTACAATTTGGATAAACTTTTGCTGCAAACAAAAGAAAAGAGACTACAAATAACATTAAGTAACAAATGAGTAATGACAATTTTCAAAGAAGTATTCATCATTATTATTATCATTCACAGCATAAAGTGTTCCACTGTTGGACAAAGACCTCAGCATGCTTCTTCCAGTGTATTCTGTCTTGGGCTTCACACTTCCAGTTTTTTTTTTTTTTTTCCAGTAATCATAGAATTTGTCCATCTCTTACGAGGCTTCTCTTGTTTCCTATATCCATATCTTGGTGTACATTCTGTCAGCTTTATTGTCCATCTGTCATCTTTGATGTCCTGCCCATCTCTATTTCATTTCTTTCATTGCAAGTAGCACATCCTTCACTTTGGTCTGTTCTCTTATTTAGTTTATGGTCATCCTCTCTCTTACCCTGATGTTTCTCTGTGCTACTTGTAGCTTTTGTTCCATGGATGCATTCATTGTCCACGTCTCTCAACCATAGATGACATCTGGCAAAACACATGCATTGAACACTATCCTTTTCAGGCAGGTAGGGAGGTTGCTCTTGAACATGTCTGGTGCTTTGTAAATGCTTCCCATCTTGCATTTATTCTTCTTTGGACTTCTTTCTCCAGTGTTCTGTTGCCGAGGCTGAATCTTTGCCTAAGATAAACATACTCTTCTACTGCTTCTATCTCCTTGTTGTTGACCTTTATTGTACAAGGGATGGTTAGTGGTCCAAATATTATTTTTGTCATACTTGTGTTCATTTTTAAACCACATCTGAGGCTTTCATCTGCTAGGGCCTGTAGTGTTGTCTGAAGATTGTTTGGACCATCTGCTACCACTATGATATCATCTGCAAACCTGAGGTGGTTGAGGCGCAGTTCTTATTAGAATCACTAAAAAACCAAGGGACTGAGGATGGATACATTGAGATTCTCAAAGATATGTATATATATATACTGGTAGCTCTGTAACAGTGAAACTACACACACTGTCAAAGGAAATCAAGATCAAAGGGTGTTCATCAAGGAGATACAAATAACAATATCTCCTTAACTGTTCACAGCAGCACTGGAAAGAATATTAAAGTGGATAGATTGGCATGACAAAGGCATAAACATAGATGGTACGAGGCTTTGATTATCATTATCATACAGTCACTTTTTTTTGTGTGCAAGAGTATGTTGCAAACCATACCTGTGCCAGCTGCAATCGATCAAATGACCCTGGCATTTGGTCATTTCCTTGAATTTCAGCCCCGCCTTGAGCTGCTAGCTGGTCACTTGACTGTCCACTACTGCCAGGCTGGCTAGGTGTGTGTAGTTCACCACTGGAGATACTCAGACCACTGGACATGGAGGGAAGGATAAATCCAAGATGTTCTGCAGAATGGTCACCCGAACTTTTCTTTTTTTCATTTTCTAGTTCAGCTTCTGTGAGAGAGTCAGAGTCCTCTTCAACTTCTTCAGAGAGTTTCTTAAGCTGACTTCTAGGCTTCAGTTTGGCTGGATGGCCGTTAGGCTGACTGGTACCAGATGGCTGGGAAATGACAGAACCACTTGCTGAGGAGGAGGCAGTGGCTGTACCTGCTGGCTCTTTCTCCTGTTGTACTGTATGACCACTGTGGCCTGAACCTGAAGGATCACTGCCACACTGAGCATCTGCTGATGAACTCTGGGATCTAGCCTATAAAACATTTATTAACATTTATCATCACCTTACTGATGTGTGACAATCACTGTTGAATAAGTAAATCTTGAAATGCAGTTACAAACTACTGAAATAAAAATATTTAGATAAAAAATTTGATATTTTCGCTCCATATCCTAGGTACATTTTAATTCATTTGCTCACTCAAAACATTGTATCCAAATGCTCTTTCCAGATCAATTTTTTTTTTTTTTTGTCCTGTCATACATATTCTTACCCACCTTATGCCATTAAAGCATCTACAGTACTGTATGCTACCTATAGATCCCATTATTTAAAAACTACGGTGCAAGAGTTTAAATATCATTATATTTATGTGGATAAATTTAATATCAATCATAATAAAAAACATTATTTTGATAGAAAAAATACATACATGTATATGTACATTTTGATTTAACTTAACTTTAGAGAACAGAGTGAGTATGTGCATTTTATTTCATCTAGAACATTACTAGTACCTTCTGATAAGCTTTATCAACTTCTGTGATAGGTCCATACTTCTTTTTGTACGCTTTTAATTCATTCTTGGCATCTTGATGCAGTNAGGTTTTTTCATTATAATGTAGTATGTGATGTCGTGTTGCGTCCTTCGCCGTACCAGTACAGCTGTATTAAGCAACGATCACGTGAAATACACCTCACGAATTGTTTACCTAGTTACGTTGATCCATGCCCATATTTTCATCAATGGTTTCGTACCTTTACCACAGATCTATTCGTCTGGGTCACGGTGACATGATGCAGAAACTACGACAGGAGACGGTCCAATGTCATACCCCGGTAAATGTGTATCCCCCAGTCGTTCTCGACAAAAGGTAATCTCTGTCCAGTTGGAAAGGTTTGCAAATTTTTCATTTTTTTCTGGTCATTTGTTTATTCATCATTTTATTTAATAATCCACTGTCATCAATTCCCAAATATTTGTTGTAAATTTGCACTTGGAGGGCAAAGATAACATTCAAATATTTATCCATACAAATTTAATCACAATATCTTATCTACTAGTAAAATAACTGATAAACGATTGCTGTATAATTTGATTATAAAGACAATGCAGTGTATTGAAAACATTTAATCAATCACAATGTTACAGAAATATATATTTTATTCACATTCAACCAAAATACAAATTTTGTAAAGATGAACAGCAAGTAGAACCAAGGAGTTATAACTCCTTGGTAAAACCTACTGTACATGTAGTAGACAATGAATCTCTTTGCAAATCAGTCAATTATGCATACGAAACAGTAATAAAAATAATTTGACATAACAGTATAATCCAAAAGTGAAATCAAATACCAAATCATGGTAATAGTTGATCATTTACGAGACTCGTGTTTCATAATAAAGAATTCCTCTGTGTGGAATGAAAATTTAAGCAAATTTTGCAATGGGAACATGTCATCAGTTTCAATGCAAATGTCACTTCAGTGTGAAAGATTGCTCTACTGGGCCCCATTTCATCAACACTGGATAGTGGTTATCCTACGGATAACACTATCCTTTGGATAAAATTATTATCCACTGGACAGTTATCTTGAGGACAGCAGCCTTTTTTAACCACTGGAAAGCAATATCTGAGACAAAAATAAGAATTTACTGTTGTCTAAACATTACTTTACCCACAGCATAATTGCCCAGAGGATAACAATTTAATCTGATGGATAGTGTTATCCACAGCATATAGCGCTATCCTGTATTGAAGAAACTGGGCCCAGGGGTGCACTAACAATATTTTACTCCACAACTCATACTGATGCTTGTTCAACTCAATGATTTCCTTTCCAACAAGTTCCTACCACTGGAATATCTCAACTAATAATCAAAAGGAGACACAGTGCAGGCAACTTATACTTTGTATTTCACAATAAGTACTGTTTTCTCATTCATCTTTTTAACTATTTTACAAAACCACTTTTAAATATCTTTAAAAGATGCAATATGCCCTGCATATTGCAAATCACAGTAAATGTTTGGAAGATTTTTGAAAATCATACACCCTTTATAAAAGCAGCTAAATAGTCAACAGCTGATACAAAGGGTGTAAATCAGTCCATCCCTGCAAATCCAAGTCCTTCCAACAGATATGGTGACACAATCAGAAAAGCTGCCTCGCACTCTCTTATTTTCCTTGCTGATAAAGAAGTATATCTGTAAAAATGGCCTCTAATAGAATGCAGAATCCAACAACATACAAAAACCACATTCTTTCTTTGGGAAGCTCACCTTGGCGAATGAATACAATCTGAAATACAAAAATACAATTTAAATTCACACATGAAAAAAAGTCTTGAAACTTGATTTTTGCTATAGAATATGTACTGACTGTAATGTATTCCAGTCATTTTATAATGGTAATAAATTCACTATAATATTATATTGCTGATGGATAAATATAACTGCAAATTGTAACATACTTCAGCTAGGGTCAAAATGCATACTATTTATAACAAGGAAATACTTCATCCTCACCAAAATCACTTCAATAACAGCAAATCCCAACAGGCTTATTCCTAGCAGCAAGTACACACCAGTGTTCATGGGGACTTGGACGCTCTGAGCAATACTCAAAATAATGCTTATCTGAAATATGAATAGGAAGCATTCATACTTTTGGTTCTGAACATAATTTCTGAAGATATTCTTTAAATTAATTCATTAAAGACAGAATTAAGGCTGATTTTTCCAGAGTAGGTAACTTCATATATTATTTTTTAACAATTATGACCTACCAGCTTCACACCAAAGTTATGAAACTGGTCACAAATGAGCCTGAAAAAACTTCTGAGGGCAAAAATGATATTGTATGTATCACATAATTTAAAGTGATAATAACTCTTCATTTTGGCCAAAAAATGAATTTTCCTGGAGTGAACAACAATTTTCTCATACTTACCAATGGTTAATGAATCCATTTTTACATTCAAAGTTAGTCCCTGGTTTTTTTCTAAAAAGTTTGGTTTTTTGTTAAAATCTCTTAAGAGATTTTAACAGAGTATAGCCATCAATGGAGGTCACGTGGTCTAAAGACAAGCTCAGATATCAGAATAATAGCTATAACTGCCGTTTTTGTGGTTAAACAGAATATATTATATTTCTATGAGTTATTCACAATGTTTTTATTGTGAAATATAGATCTCATATGAAGAGTTATTATCCCTTTAAATTTTAGAAAACATATAGATTAATCTTACCAAAACCATCAGCACCACAAGAGAAACAAATGTAAGTTGCAAACCTCTCTGAAAGAAAAAGAAATACACTTCAAAAATGTAAAACATACTAGCAAATAGTTTTTTATTGTGGTTTAAGAAATCTTAAAACTGCACTACTCAGCACTACTGTCTCATATAACGTTATACCTGTACATTTGCACCCGACTTTGAACGTCATTTGACGGTGACACTGTGCTACATGTATGGGCGGCGGTTTATACAAAAATGCAAAACACGATTAGTCGTCATCGTTATTAGATCAGTCGAAATGAAAACGCGATTTGTCGTCGTCGTTATCAGATCAGAAGGCAAAATACGACTAGTAGTCGTCAAAACGCAACTAGTCATCAAAACGCAACTAGTCATCAAAACGCAACTAGTCATCATCAAAACGCAACTTGTCATCAAAACGCGATTTGACGCCAGATGGCGCCCATTGTACGAAAATCTAGGCCAAGTCACATGATCCACAGTGATCAAAATGGCGGACGTTATTGAAGCAGCATTATCATATTCCTCGCTCGAACTCGAGAATTATCTCTACGCGTACAATCTAATAATGATATTATATATATAATAATATCTGGAACTTGTGAAATGAGTACAACAATAAAGCAGTGCTTCACAAGTGTGTGTTTTTGTTTTTTTTTTAATTTATAACATGTCCAAATTATTTAATAAATTATTAAATTATTTATTATTTCGAGAATTATCTCTACGCGTACAATCTAATAATGATATTATATATATAATAATATCTCGAACACGAGATAATTCTCGAGTTCGAGCGAGGAATATGATAATGCTGCTTCAATAACGTCCGCCATTTTGATCACTGTGGATCATGTGACTTGGCCTAGATTTTCGAACAATGGGCGCCATCTGGCGTCAAATCGCGTTTTGATGACAAGTTGCGTTTTGATGATGACAAGTTGCGTTTTGATGATGACTAGTTGCGTTTTGATGACTAGTTGCGTTTTGACGACTACTAGTCGTATTTTGCCTTCTGATCGGATAACGATGACGACTAATCGTGTTTTGCATTTTTGTATAAACCGCCGCCCATATACATGTACAGTACATATGCAGTTTAAGTTACCAAGTAAATATTGGTGACATGTAGATGATTAAAAAGAGTAGAAACTCAAAGAAAGCGTGGCACGAAAATTCGCGTGTTATAACAAACAGCACAAATTTGAGACAGTAAATAAGAGTGTTAACAAATGAATTTTTGTGATACGGGTCACATGTCATTATGAACTTCCGCATATAAAAGAACTTTTAAAAGTACTTTGTCTTGCATGGGTTTTGATATATCGTGTATTACCATTAGAGGAGTCTGCGTACTGTCATGATATAGCGGGCCTGCAGATGTAGCTTTACCCGCCCCGACGATCTGAGTTTTCTCTGTATCCGCGTCCATTTCAGCTGACAGCGGAACAACTCCTTGACATCCCTAGTCCGCCGGAAGATGTAGCTGTCAACCAAGCCAATCCAGTAACTAATCAATTAAATTTAGTTAATGTTGATCAGTTAAAGCTGCAAATAAATATTGTTTATTATGCTTAGTAATAAAATAATGTCTATTATTAAATAAAAACGGTATAAGATACAGTGTTTTGATATAATCTGCTGTTTGACTGTAGTGACATCTAGCGATGAACTGGAGTGTCATGTGATATAAACATCAACTTGATCAAGGTATCAAGGTGTGATGTTAGAGTTGAAGCGGTCGTTATAAAAGTTACTAAAAATGGATGAAACTGCTGTCCCAAAATCTACAGCCAAAGCAACATCAACAGATGTAAATGCCATTTACCACGACGTTTCACCAACACTTGTGAGTACAACCCCGTTGCTAGAGAGTAATTTTCATGAAAGACAAAAGTTAACTGTGACTGTGATTTTAAATACAGGAAATTTTGACAAAATTTTTGGAAGACCTATATTTGCGTTTATCAATAGATTTAGATTGTTTGTTTAGATATCTAACTAATGGGAAAATGCTGCATGACATATAAGCCGGGGATGGTTCATATATATATATGCTGTATATCACAATCTTTTTGAAAAATATTAAAAGAAATTTAAAGTTTTTAAATTAAAGTTGAAATCTGAATCAGGAAGTTGCCCAAATTAAGCATAAACCAAAAAATTAACTCGGTTTAGAGGGGCGAATTATTTTGTATCGAGTCAAGGGGAGTTACACTATTAATTGACATCATGAGACAAAATTTCAGTGTTGAAGACATAAAATTATACTGTATATAATAGTAAAAAGAGGTAATTAATGGATTCATCCACACTTAATGAAAACAGAGCAGTGATTTTGTAAATGCTTTTGTATATACTGTAGGTATTTGACATAAAGCATAAAGTCAGAGGGAAGAATATCTAAGACAATTATTTGTGCTATATGACAGTAAGATGTAAGTTTAATGACTATATTCAACTGACAGATGTACGAGTAAAATCTGAAATTTATTTGTAGATTTATGGCTCAAAAGTGTTTGGTGTCGTGACATGCCTTATGGTTGTAGTAAGTATTATTATTCACTTTCAATGTGTTTTTGTAACATGTTAAAATTATAGCATTGTCTCTTGCTGTTTGAATGTGATGGTAAAATTTCAGCTTGTTTATACCTGAATTTTTTTTTAATTTATAGAGTGATGAATTTTTTAAAGTTAACATGTTGCCATATAATGATATTTCTAAAATGTACTATTATCATAGTAACTTATTCTATGGTGCTATCATAGATGTTTTTCCAAGAGTAATATGAATCATTATTAATTAATTTTAATTTTGGAGCTTTTAAATATTTTAGTGTTAAGCTTGGTAGTCGGTACAAAATCCACATTATTATCTTTCAGATTGCTTTCATTATCTGTCTGGTGACTGGTGCTAAAAACAATACATTTTACCTGATGGCTACAAATTTATTAAGTAAGTACTGTAGTTAGTATTTGAGTTATTATTATTATTATCTAGCTGCAAACAAATTTTACATAGTTCAAAGATACAGTAAAGTATAAATTTAAAGTGAAGTTATATAAATGTGCATTTTTATTTACAATTATACATTTCAATTAATATGGGATGATACTGCCATTTAGAGAAAAAGTTGGAAAATAAGGGTCCACCTAGGCCAATGATAATTTTGACTCCCAAAAAATAAAAAATCTGCCGGTAGTCAGAAAAATCTCATCCATGTATACATTAGAAATTGATATTTTAAAAAACTTGCAAAGTTAAAAAAAAGGAAAAAAAAAATCATCAAAATCTACCTTCTTTGTATGATAATCGTTAGGTGTTTTGAAATGCAGTAAACTTGTACAAATTGAAGTTCCTTGCCTATTGCAATCTTGTATTTTATCAAGATTAATGATTTTAAATTACAAAAATACACTTTATTACATAAACACCATTTATAAAATATTTCAGATATCTGTTATTATTGTTACTGATGAAAATTTATTTTATTTTTAATTTAGTGAATAGCAATTTTAGGTACATTAACTCTTTTTTTTAACTTTCAGTAAGTACTTTTGTTGGAGCTGTTGTGGTAAGTTTCTTGAATACATAATAGGAAATTGATCTCATAATTTTGTTCCTTTAATTTTGAAAAAATTTGTAACAGTTTCTCTTATTATGTTATACATGCTGTTTCATTATTACAAAATCTGTATGAGCAAACCTTTATGCATGATTACATTTTGTTTTGCATTATCTTTTTAGTTGTAATGGTGTTGTATTTATGAACTATTATTTTTTAAATTTAAATTGTATTGACATTTTCTTTCCTTCATTTGAAGACATGGTGGTATAGGAAAGGTGACCTGGTAGGTACTTTACGTGAACTTGTTTCCATGTCACATTACAAAGAATTTATTTAAGATCAATTTTTAGACATTTTTTCTCCAAGTAGGTACCATATAAATGTTTTATCTCAAAAATAGCGGATAATCTTGTTCTCCTCTAAACTTGAAAAAATAGTTTCATCTGTTTTTTTCCTCATTTTTTTTCAGGCTTCAGATAAAATCTGGTTCATTATTTTGGTGTGTGCAGTGATAGTCTTCCAGTGCATCACCACAGAAATCTACGTTTTCAATGTTCAGTATGTAGACAATGATGTTTCCACCCCAGCGCCCCCTAGGATCAATACCACTGCTCACCATAACATGACAACAAGACATATGATGCAGCAAGATGTCACAACTGTTCCTAGTTTTTGAAAAATCACTTTTGATGTCTAAGAAATCAATTGGCTCAAGCTTGTTTGCACTATTAAAACCAACTGCAGAAGATAATTAACTTTTTTCTATTTTATGATACAGCATGAGATGCTTTTGTAGTTCATTCTGCACGTTTTTCTGTGCACAGAGAAAGATTTCATTTTATTCTTTTCTATACAAGTTGAAACTTACTGTCATACACTTGTGATTTAGTATTTAATTGTAAATATAATTATAAATGTTTATGTTAAAAAGCTTACAATAAATGTGTAGTCAAATATCTTGACTCTTTTAGTAAATTACAAATAGCTAAATGGATAGTTTTATTACATCTTCATAATGTTGAGTACCAAAGATAAACCAAAATGTGTGCTTATTTAAAAAGTGAAACTTAAAATAACTTAGTGTGCCAATTGAATTAAACTTTGTTTTCACCTAATTATATCCCATACAATTTAATCGCAACTCTATGACAAATCTTTTTGAAGGCAATTTCACTCATGTTATAACTTGAATAAAAAGTTGGCACATGTACTCACCTGCCACTTTGTTTGTACCATGTCATTAAAAGTTGGACTAATCAACTGGACAGCAAACATATGTTCTATGAATTCTTTTAGACTAATGAACTTCATTAAGATTGTTTCAAAATCCTTCTGTGAAAACTTTACATTACAACAAATTCATATTACAAATTTCCATTTCTTTTAAGTATAGTTTTCTTAACTTCCTCAAAGCAAGGTTTGAAAGATTACTATATATGTCCGTCTTCCTAAAATAAGAAGACATACCTTTATCACTGAAATTGTGAGTGCATCTTTGATAAGAAAATGTTAATATGATCCTTGAATTTTCCAACAGATTGTTTATATCAAAAACCATTTTACAAATTTAAAGCTAGCAGATTTTCAAAGGTTTCCTTAAAAAAAAGAGCCTTATTGTAATATTCACAGTTTAAAAAGTATTCCTAAATAAATACAATGGGTAACATAAATGTAACATTAATGATTTCAATATTTGTGATGGTCCTATACACAATTCTAGTTGAAAAGACACAGCTAGTCTATATGAGGTACATCGCATATACAAGGAATTATCTTCACTCTGAAGAAATCCACCTTCAATCCAGGTTATTCCTCAATGAATGGAGAACTATCTTCAAATACCTCATCCATCACATCCTCTCCTCGTGGCTGTAGACGACGCTAAAATAGGGAAATAAAATGTGGAATTACTGTGTTATCATGAATTTTGTTGAAAGCAGCAACAAAAAATGGGGCGCATTTGATTACACCAGTCGGTGTTTAATGATAGATCCTCAAAGTTAAGATCCCTATCAAATTACAAATAAGTAACGATTACAAGTCCTGAATTAACTTTAGGACTACTGTACCTGAGGAATTGATGCTGGGATTTGACTGCAACTGCTGCTTCTGTAACCTAGAAAAAAGATGAAATATATGTACAACCATGGGCTGAGGCTTGGATCACTTTTGATTTAACTGAAAAACATATTAATTTCAAACATCAATAAATGGTAGGAAATTGTATGCAGCTGCTTCCTAATCTGAGCTTAATGTAATCTTGTATGTATTTTACTAAGCCAAATCAGACATTGTACCTGAACCGTGATAGCTTCTAGTGGAGCCACAAACTTCACACACAGTGCGTGAGGAGGCATTGAGATACGTGCAGCTCTGACAAGGCCACTTATTCTGTGATGCTGCTGACCCTGTGCTGCTACTGCGTCCACCAGCCATCAAGGGCCCAGACTGTTGGATATTCTGCATGTCACGAATCTGGCGCTCCAGTAAACGGACCTGATCTCTTTTCAAAGTAACTTCCTCTTTCAAGTCTTCAACCTGAGAGAGCATGTGTTACATTTTATTGAATATTATTAAATTAAGAAGTATTGGTCATAAATATGTTGTGCTACACTAAAAGTTGAACACTTCTCTTGATGTTCAACTATATTTCCCTTATGATGTCATGATTTTCTAATATCATTTGACTTACCTTCTGATCTCTATTTGTCAATTGCTCTTTCAAGCGATCACTTGCTTCTTCTAAAGAAATTTTCTCGGCTTGAATCCTTTCTCTGTCTCGTCTCTCTTGCTCAAAGTCTTCCCTGAACATGGCAACCTGTAAGGAAATAAATGAATCTATTATCAGTCATACTTCCCAATTGTTCCTATCAATATGAGCATGGTCTTAATTTTCCCTTTTTAATAATGAGTATAACATTTTTAAGAATGCCATTATGTCATTTCTTTAAAAAAAAAACATTCACACTAACCTGCTGTAGAAGTGCTGTGATTTCATTTCTCATAGACTCAACATCAGAGCTGCTGGCAGGCCCAGTTTGAATCTGTGGGAAGTTGATTATGAAACACTAGGTATGTGCAGATAATGCCAATCTAGCTATTTTTTCAATCATCTATTTGAGGTTTGTATAAGTACAATCTCCTCCATGGGTCTTAACAATTATATCTCTTTAACCAAATTCAGATAATGATCACCCAAAAGTGAACCATCCTACAACAAAGTATTTTCATGTACAAAGTTCAAAATACAACTATTTCTTTAACAGTACCAGTCTCTTAGAGTGATAGTCAACACAAGTCTTGAAAATTTTGAGAAAAAAAAATAAAAAGACAAATAGACAGAGATATCTAACCTTGTTCCTCCTTGTGAGTCCATCCCAAGGTTTACTCTCTCTCCCAGTTTGCTGAACACCACTACCAATGACAAGCAGTTGTTCTTCAAGAGTTTGTCTCTTCTGTCTTTCTAAGTGCAATAACTGCAACGCTTCCTCCTTTGCAGTCTTGATGAAGAATTAAAGATGCATGTTTAAAGACATACAATCAAATTACAGCTAATGCAAAAACTATTCAGTCCATATTTTAGTTGACGATTACAATACAAATGTGTAAAGCCTGGGTTCACTTTCCTATTGTCAACTTTAATTCCACCTTATATATGTTATATAAAACAAAAAATTCAAACGATTCAAGCTCTTCAAAATCTACCCTCACCTCCTCAATTTCTGTTCTCTTTTTTGCAGACAAAAGTAAAGAATCAATGTCTCTCTGCCTCTTGCCCTCCATGCTGACATGTGCAGCCAGTTGTTGTTGGGCTTCATTCAACTGTTGTCCTAGCTGCAGCACCTCTTGTTGGTATTCTTGCTGTAGTTTTCCATAGTCTGCTGACCATTTGTGATTTACTTCAAGCAACTGCAGAAAAGGAATGAGGGCAATCCCTTAAACATGCTGTTGTAACTGTGTTACATGAGTAATAATATCCCTAACAAGAAATGAAATACTGACTGGTGAATGACCTGCTTAAGCCCCCTTTACACTGGATGGTGTCCTTTCTGAATTCTATAGTATGGCCCCATTTGAGAGTTAAAAAAATAATACTTTACGTGCAGATTACTGGCAGATCATGAGCATTCATTCTGCAATCAAAGGGGGTGCTTGTGCCTCCTTTCTTCGACCACAGCAATGCCAGTTTCATGGTCACACAAAAAGGGATGCAGAAAGGATACTGCCCAGTATAAGGTTTTAGTTATCAACTAGAAGTTGTTGACTTAATTAATAAAATTTCGTCACATTTATAAGTATTGTATGAATATGCATATTCTTATTTTTCCAGCAAGTTTTCAGTTCTGATTTTCCCCCTGCAAGCGGAGTGTTGTTACCCACTATTACTAATGCCATGCTTAACTGCCAAAATTAATCAATTCTTAATTATTTTCCTCTCTTCTACCCCATGAAAAGAACAACAGAATTTGATTTGCAAGTTTACCTCATTTCTCTGGCTGACAATTTTTGCAAGTCTTCGCTCCAATGCTTGCACCTCTGTATGAGACTGCTACAAAAAATGATAAAGATGATGATAATAAATTAATGTTAAAATAGATAACACAGTCTTGGTTCATTGTTTTTAGCTTATCAATGAGGACATATTTGAAAATGTTTTAACATAACAATTCCATGAAAACTATCTGTACTCCCACTGACAGCTCAATGTGCTAATACTTAAACTGAGCAATCTAAAGGATGCATTGCTGTTTGAGTGATGCAGCATCATGATATTCTACCAGTCAAACTCTCGTACAGTGAGAAGAAATGCCAAAATCCAGTTCATGAAGACCACTTGACTTAGCTTCACATATGGTTTTAACTTAACTTAATCTTACCCTTTGAGCTTGTTCCTCTTCAGATTCTCCTTGCTTGGTAACCGTAACCCAATCATCAGATGCCAGTGAACTTGTAGACCGTGCATGCCGTTCTTGCTGAAGTTTGATAACTGTCTGCTTCAGTTTACCATTCTCTTGCCTTTAAGACAGAGTCAGAAATGAGCAGTTGTTCAGTCAAATATTTCTAAAGACAAAGTTATTTGCATTTAAATTAGTGGACTCTACATCTATTTTCGGATTTATGCAGTATATGTGTAACACATTAATTATCATTTATCTTGAATAAATCTTGTGGAACTGTTTTATTTTGTCTTCCTTTTGTAGCAGCTGAAACTCATAAATTTTTTCTATCTTGAATCAAACAAAATTTTGATCAAGCTTAAAAAAACTCATCTCACTCAATTATCAGTTCATAAATTCTATCACAACCTGCATCAACCATAGTTTATATCACTAACCTCAATTCGTTTATGGTCCTATCCCTTTCAGGTATCCTATTTTTCAAGTCACTGTTTTCAGCAGATAGTGCCGATACAAGGCTCTGAGATAAAGACAAAGAAGTATTGTACACTAACTGAAATGCAACTAAATGTTAATCATTAGCGTATGTTGGTATAGCAAGCAAATGTATTCACACTGATAATTCTGATTTGTTTAAAACTGATTAGATAAAACTTGGTCTGCAAAGGAATTGGATAATCTTTTTTTTTTTTTTTTGGACTAGATTTATATTACCTAATTATACATTATAACCGAATACAAGGCATTCCTACTCTTGTGTGTATAACCTCCCCAAGAAAAATAAAACTTGGTTGAGAAAATCTGAAAATTTCAAATTCCACATATTAATATAACACGTCACATTTAAACCGACTTCTCAAACATATGTATTTTGCAATTTAACTTAGGCAATCATTTTCTCACCTTGTACTGTTTGTTCTCTTTTTCTACTTTAACCATGTGAAGGGAGATCCTGGCAAGGTCCATGGCAACACTTGTTTCATCTCCATTTCCAGTAAATTTGTGGAGAACTGTGGCAACTTGAGGCACATGCATTGATACCTCAATGCTTTCTGGTAAGGAAAATGTCCTTCCAGACTTGTGCAGAGACTGAAATATAAAATGATTTTCACTATAAAGATTAATAACATAACAAAGTATCAGATACATATATGCAAGTCAATCAAAGTTACAATTTGGATAAACTTTTGCTGCAAACAAAAGAAAAGAGACAACAAATAACATTAAGTAATAAATGAGTATTGACAATTTTCAATATCTATTGAAAGAAGTTTTCATCATTATCATTATCATTCACAGCATAAAGTGTTCCACTGTTGGACAAAGACCTCAGCATGCTTCTTCCAGTGTATTCTGTCTTGGGCTTCACACTTCCAGTTTTTTTTTTTCCAGTAATCATCGAATTTGTCCCTCCATCTCTTACGAGGCTTCTCTTGTTTCCTATGTCCATATCTTGGTGTCCATTCTGTCAGCTTTATTGTCCATCTGTCATCTCTATTTCATTTCTTTCATTGTAAGTAGCACATCCCTCACTTTGGTCAGTTCTCTTATCTATTTAATGGTCATCCCATCTCTTATTCTGATGTTTAACATACTTCTTTCCATCTTTCTCTGTGTTACTTGTAGCTTCTGTTCCATGGATGCATTCATTGTGCATGTCTCTGAACCATAGATGACAGCTGGCAATACACATGCACTGAACACTTTCCTTTTCAGGCAGGTAAGGAGGTTGCTCTTGAACATGTCTTTTACTTTGTAAATGCTACCCATCTTGCATGTATTTTTCTTTGGACTTCTTTCTCAAGTGTTCTGTTGCCAAGGCTGAATCTTTGCCTAAGATATACATACTCTTCTACTGCTTCTATCTCCTTGTTGTTGACCTTTATTGTACAAGGGATTGTTAGTGGCCCGAACATTATTTTTGTCATACTTGTGTTCATTTTTAACCCACATCTGAGGCTTTCATCTGCTAGGGCCTGTAGTGTTGTCTGAAGATTGTTTTGATCATCTGCTACCACTATGATATCATCTGCAAACCTGAGGTGGTTGAGGCACAGTTTACATTAGAATCACTAAAAAACCAAGGGATTGAGGATGGATACATTGAAATTCTCAAAGATATATATACTGATAGCTCTGTGACAGTGAAACTACACACACTGTCAAAGGAAATCAAGATCAAAAAGGGTGTTCATCAAGGAGATACAATATCTCCTTAACTGTTCACAGCAGCACTGGAAAGCATATTAAAGTGGATAGATTGGCATGACAAAGACATAAACATAGATGGGCTATGATTATCATAATCATACAGACACTTTTTTGTGTGCAAGGGTTTGTTGCAAACCATACCTGTGCCAGCTGCAATCGATCAAATGACCCTGGCATTTGGTCATTTCCTTGAATTTCAGCCCCGCCTTGAGCTGCTAGCTGGTCACTTGACTGTCCACTACTGCCAGGCTGGCTAGGTGTGTGTAGGTCACCACTGGAGATACTCTGACCACTGGACATGGAGGGAAGGATAAATCCAAGATGTTCTGCAGAATGGTCACCCGAACTTTTCTTTTTTTCATTTTCTAGTTCAGCTTCTGTGAGAGAGTCAGAGTCCTCTTCAACTTCTTCAGAGAGTTTCTTAAGCTGACTTCTAGGCTTCAGTTTGGCTGGATGGCCGTTAGGCTGACTGGTACCAGATGGCTGGGAAATGACAGAACCACTTGCTGAGGAGGAGGCAGTGGCTGTACCTGCTGGCTCTTTCTCCTGTTGTACTGTATAACCACTGTGGCCTGAACCTGAAGGATCACTGCCACACTGTGCATCTGCTGATGAACTCTGGGATCTAGCCTATAAAACATTTATTAACATTTATCATCACCTTACTGATGTGTGACAATCACTGTTGAATAAGTAAATCTTGAAATGCAGTTACAAACTACTGAAATAAAAATATTTAGATAAAAAATTTGATATTTTCGCTCCATATCCTAGGTACATTTTAATTCATTTGCTCACTCAAAACATTGTATCCAAATGCTCTTTCCAGATCAATTTTTTTTTTGTCCTGTCATACATATTCTTACCCACCTTATGCCATTAAAGCATCTACAGTACTGTATGCTACCTATAGATCCCATTATTTAAAAACTACGGTGCAAGAGTTTAAATATCATTATATTTATGTGGATAAATTTAATATCAATCATAATAAAAAACATTATTTTGATAGAAAAAATACATACATGTTTATGTACATTTTGATTTAACTTAACTTTAGAGAACAGAGTGAGTATGTGCATTTTATTTCATCTAGAACATTACTAGTACCTTCTGATAAGCTTTATCAACTTCTGTGATAGGTCCATACTTCTTTTTGTACGCTTTTAATTCATTCTTGGCATCTTGATGCAGCTGACCTGATTAAGTTTTATTTTTAAATGGACAAAAGTATTACAATTTATTGTGTAAATATTTCAATTACAGGGAAAAGTACAAAAATTTAGACTTAATCTAAAACAATGTCCGCTTCTCATAATTATGAGACACATAAAACAGATGTTAAAATGTTCAAGCAAAATACATTTCACTATTATACCGTATATTCAACTGTACACATGAGTATTAAATGACCATGCCACATTTCTCTTTGTGTACAGGCATTATTGAATACAATAAGTTGTTGACAATACTTGATATAAAATAAATAAACAGAAATGTAATAAAAGTGACAAGAGAAAATATCCATACCTAGAGTCTCATAACCTTTCAGTTTTGCTCTCAAAACCTGATTTTCTGCAACTTGTTTGTCGTATCTGTTTTTCAACTTTTCATAATTGTTCATGTCGGTCTCCACTTCTTTGCCTAATATGTTTTCTCTGGGTTTTGATGCCATAATGCCGCTGTTGTAGCCTTAGACGTTCCTGGAAATTTTGATAAAGCAAATCTCAAATATGCTTATAAAACAGATAGCATTTTCATTTCCGTTGAAAATTTCGTGTCTTCTATAGAAACATTTTATCTATATGAAAGACCCGTCAGCCATATGCCGGAATATTGAATTATCCGACGTATTCAAATGGATACATTAACGTACCTTTATTTATGATACTGTCATTTGCCATTTGTAAAGATAAAAACCAGGATTCCCCACGGCACATACATGTGTATTTTCTAATTTGTCTATTTGTATTTGCGTCGAAAATTTGTGGCCAATTCCTTGAAACGTGATAAGTTACATATACATGTTTCCATTACTGAGCACCATAAAAAGAATACTAGTCACTGAAAACTATTTGTTAGTAATCGGTAATTCCCCAACTCTCGTAACCGTAAACAAAGTGCGTCGTTTGGTCGGGTCAAATTGAAAGATTGTCAGTATCTAAAACGTCCGATCTAAATGCAGTTCTTTATTTATGCGTTACATGCAATCAATCTTTATATATTCACCTACCCCATTTAAGTTTCTTGGAGACCCCGTTTAAAGGACATCAGCGATATTTCCTCGTGCGTCACGACTGAACAGATCGGGATATGAACCAGCCATTTTCTCTTTCAAATTAGCGAAAACGAGGCAAGGGAATTTCCCTCTTTAATTTCCAACACACCTCCCACCTCGCTTAATTGCACATCGCAATAGCCTCTTTATTCTTATTTCTACCTTGAGCCTGTTCTAATATATTAAAAATAGTGGTTTCAAATTTTTATATTTCATCAGACTGGTAACAACATTTAAAGGGATAATAACTCTTCGTTTTGGCCAAAAAATGAATTTTCCTGGAGTAAACAACAATTTTCCCATACTTACCAATGGTTAATGAATAAATTTTTACATTCAAAGTTAGTCCCTAGCTTTTTTCTAAAAAGTTTTTTTTTTGTTAAAATCTCTTAAGAGATTATAGCAGAGTATAGCCATCAATGGAGGTCACGTGGTCTGAAGACAAGCTCAGATATCAGAATAAATAGCTATAACTGCTGTTTTTGTGATAAAACAGAATATATAATATTTCTTTGAATTGTTCACAATGTTTTTATTGTGAAATATAGATCTCATACAAAGAGTTATTATCCCTTTAAATATGCCCATACAATGAGCGTAGAGCATTCTACATTTGTATATCCGCGAACTTGAGATCTGATAATACATGATATTGACAGTTGAAATAATCCACACACAAGATGGCATCATTGCCAAAATTTCAATTTTTGAATTTTAAACACATCAATCAATATCACCTTTCTGCAAAACAGCATGTCAAAATGGACCAGTCTATATATATATATATATATATATATATATATATATATATATATATATATATATATATATATATATACTGTATAAATGCCAAAGAGACCCTGTACAAACAACAACAAAAGGTAATTTTTTGACAAATATGTTTTTCTTTATTACATTTATATGAAAAGCTGGCTGTCCTATAAAGACTGACAAGTCACAATCATTTAAATTTTACTAAGTCAGTGACGACTGAAATATGCACTTTATAGTAATACCACTTGAGCTTTCTATAAAAACCACCAGAAACAATTGCCGTACCATGCTGAGGTAACACATCTTATATATGTATACTAAAATTATCAAATATTCCATCCTAAAAGCACGTAATAAGGACAAGTCTATATTTTAATGAAGAATGTTGTGCATAACACTTAACAGGACTTGCAACAATTTATGTAGCATGGTTCTTCCAACAAATAAGTTGTTTTTATGAAAATCACCTGCAATATTTTTCATTAAACTCCCCAACACAATTTTCATATAAAGACACACAAATGTTTTGTAACTGTCTTTCTTTCAACCAATAAAAGTTCTACATACATTTTCATATAGAAACAGATACTAACTTTGGAACATGATAGGAAAGACACAGAGACCATAACACCTATTTAAATATTCAGAGATGTGGCTGAATCATGGTAAAATTCCCTGAAACCAGGAAATTCCCTCAGTAATCATATCCATGATATTTAGTTAAATAAATTAATTCATAAATGCATCAAATGCAATGCAGTAAAGACAACTTAAAGCAAAGCTGTTTGTGAATAAACCAAGAATGCTCAACTAAGCACTAACTGGTCCAAAATTGAGAAAAACTTGGTGTTCTAAGGATGCTATTTGTGGTTCTTTCTTTTCTGCCTGGAGAGCTCCAGTCATGTTCTTGTAGTCGTACTTCATTAGAAGAGAAACCTGCAAAAACAAAAGAAGTTTGCCATAATTGGGAAATATTTACACCTCATAAACATCTGTGAAAACTTTTGCCGTAATACCCTTAATATCAATAAGATACAATAAACAATAATATTCTCTCATACAATAATTGCCTCTAAAATATTCTTAAAAAAAAACAACTCACTTTGACATCTCCAACAGCTTTTTGTGGTATCACCTTCACAGTGAACCTGATCTTGTTAGCCTTCCGCCATACAACCACACTGAAAAGACATCAAAGTAGTCAGTTAATTTTTTTAATTTTTACAATACAGTGTGGGTATAATCTAGTGCTCTCCATATATATATATATATATATATATATATATATATATATATATATATATATATATATATAACATGTGCCTGACATAAGACAAATTGTTAATATTTAATCCCAAATGTCTCAAGGGCAAGAACAATGATAATCTTATGGAGTGTTCCCATAAGCCCAATGAACTAACTGGATTGATCTAACTCTGCAGGGATTCGCACTAAATTGCATTCAGTGTAAGCGTCTTGAATGTCTGGCTGCTACTCAAGCTGCTAGGGGGTAATTAACAATAGTCATAATTAACGATAGTAATTAGAACGATCCAGCATCTATGATTGGTTAATGGGAACAAAGTCTTATTTTCATTTATCAAATTCAAAAATGTCTGTGCAATTAAAATCCAGACTTGATTCCTTTAAGATTTTATGTTACTTGTTCAATCTTTCTTCTATTATGAATCCTTTTTCATTTTCTCAGTAAAAAATATTTTCAAAAGCTTACTTAGGGTCATCCTGGAAGTCTTGCTGATCAGTTCCTTCACCATATTCAGCAGCATCATCCCTAGCTGCTAGAGCTAGTTCAGCTTCAGGGAGGACAATCTAAAAAAAAAAAAATGAAGTTCTTAGAAGTGTTACTTTGTTTACTAACTTCTCGTAAATCCAGGTTCTTATATATTTTTTTAACTTCATTAATAATTAGTAGATAAACTGCAAGTCATAGTAAAATCATTAAAATAATGTATAAAGTATCCTTCTGTACTAAGTGAGGTAACACTTTCACTTAAAGGCACTCAGCACGGGATTTACCAGCCAAAATGAATTTTCCCTGGAGAGAAGCCATTTTCTTCCACTCACAAATCATTACTCAAGCTGTCCCATGCACTTGGATTCAATGATTTTATCTATTTTATTCATTTATTCAACTTTTAAACGATTCCCTTCCCTGACCTTCACTGGGCATAGATTATTTTTTACTACATAAAACAAACAAGAAAATGGGGCCTGTGGCCAAGGGCCCTGTGTGGTGTATTACACAAACGTTACAAACTGTCATGGCCACCTGATAAGGCTAGGTAGATAATAACTACGCTAGGTACACTTCAGATAAACATTTATTGAACATTTCACATAAACATTTATTTAAGGGCTTTTATCATCTGTAAGGTCTGAATTAGTAAATATAATAAGCTCTTCAGGATAAGAAGATGACTGTTGGAAATTTTCATATGCAAGCAGAGTGCATTTAACATTTCAAAATGAACTTTTTACTTCCATTTTCAAGGCCATACATACTGTTGCAGTGTCTTCAGATTCTTCAGTTTTCTCCATGGGTAGAAGTGTGACTTTGGTAGGGTTTTCCACTGGGTTTATTAGTGTCAATATTATTTGACATTCCTGCAAGAACATCATTGGATATATACAATCAACTAAAATTATTAGGCATAGAGGTAAAGGTTAAGGAGTGCATAATATAACTGCCTTAATAACCAACTAGCATGAAAACATCCTAGGACATACACATTGCTGATTGCCATACTCACCTTTTGATACACCAACTTTGGTAGGGGCATCATCCTTATATCTGGAACATGTTGCCTAAAAATACAAAAAAATTTTCATGTACTTAGACTTTGTTTTTGTCAAAAAATACCCAAACTGGGAATTATCTTCTTACAGTGACGGTCAGGGAACCAATCCTTAATATGCACTGCTCTTAATATCTGACCTTATTCTACTAACTTTTAGAAAAAAATTCAATTAAAAATGACAATACTCACAATGCAACTAACTGTATCTTGAACTTAATGGAAGAAGGATTGAATTCTGGCTTGCTTAGATTGTGTTCACACTCCTGAAAAATAATGCAGGATAATTAATCATTGTTATCAAGTTGACAGTCAATAAAACAAAAAAATTCTTAATTTGAATAATTAACAACATTCTAATTCAAAAAATAAAATTTGTGAGCAACTCAGATGAGTGTTCATACAAACTTTTTTGCTTTTTTGATCAAAAGTTCTCAAGCTAAAATACTGCCTGATATTTTTTTGACATAATAGTTACATATTGCTGAATAAAACCAACTATTTTCCAATTCCATAGCTGAAATTATGGACTTATTACCTATTTTACAGTCAACAACCTAGCACATCTGTTGACTTACTACAACAAGGGCACTTACCCTGCACCTCTGTGATCTCCTGACTAGTAAATGCTTATGTCGTGGGTACAGATCACCACGAGCCATCGGTTGATATTCAGGGTTGGCCAGAGACTGACTAAGAGTACTCACTAAAAAGAAAGAACAATGTCTCCATTTCATTTCATAGTAATAACTCAATTCAAATGACATTACCTCTTATGAAGAATTATCTCCTTTAAAATTGATGCTCCCATTATTTTCAAAGAAAATTATGCCATGACAGATAGGGATCGAGTGCAATATGATTAATATTCAATATAACACTCTCCAACTTGAGCTCAACTCTTGAGCAATGAATGAATGAGAGACTCCTTTATTATATTCACATTTATTAAATACACATCTGTTTATAAGTTTATAACAGGTACCTTTTTCTAGCACCAACGGCTCTGTATAAATACTATCTGGAAGAGCTTCAACATCAGTCAAAGGTTCAGCAGCAGGGACTGTTAAGGTTTGGTTTTCCTCTCCTTCTTTCAGACTTAAAATTGAATAAAAATGCAGTGAATATTTTATATCAGTTTTGGGCAAAGACACAAACTGTATATCACACACAACAGTCATTTTTTAAATATAACATGCAACTGAGTCAGCATATATATGAATCTGAACCAACACTAATATGGTTTTGCAAATATATTCAGATGGCAAAGTTCACTCACTTAAGACTGGCCATTGACATAAGGCCTATGGTTTTGCAAATATATTCAGATGGCAAAGTTCACTCACTTAAGACTGGCCATTGACATAAGGCCTCTTCTTTTGGCAGCCACTGAAGTCAGTCCATATTTATCCTGCAATTAATAAAAAAGAATAAAAATTTTTAGCATGGAGCAAATATTTATATCCTATATGTGGCATCATCTTTTCCTTCTCACTTCTGGACTTATATTTCCGTCACTTTACAATCCACATGTTTGATACAATCATTTGATATACACTTTACACATTTGTTATATGAGTATGTGATGAATAGTGACATACAGAGAAATGGAAGTAACCCCTCCTCCTAGTGTATTTCTTCTTTTCCCTCTCCTGTTTTTCCCTCTGGGCAAGTTGACGATAATAATCTTGCAGAGTTGCAATCTATAAGATATCCAAATAATTTACTTTTAGCAAGAATTTCAACAAAAGATTTAATTCTGATCATATGCAATTGAACTCATGAAAGACAAACAAATGTAAATTAAAAATTTACAACAGCAATACATATAAAACACATGCTGGAAGGTTTCAGAAGTAGGTGACACTAATGAGCAAATTGATTTATTTTCAATGGAACTCATACACACCCTTTGAGCATTAGGATTTTCTTGGTCTTGCCATCCACCAGAGGCTGAAAGTACAAATTTAACTTGAAATGTTGTTTTTCATAAAATCATCAACATATAAAACCAAGCCGTAGGTTGTCTCTTGCATTAGAAAATTGACTAAAAGGTAAACATTCCTATTTGAAAAAGGAAAATATAAACATCTGTATAATATTATGCCAGATTCACCCTCAATTCATTTCAACATTTTAATTTGATTTAAATTCGCTTGTGTACTGAAAAAAATAATCCTAAAGTAAGTCTAGGTGATTGTAATTGTTTGTCAAAAAAGGCACTCTGTCTCTGACTGTTGTTCAAATCCATCATAATAATGTTCAAAGTAAGCACATTGTCCACAATGTCAGGCTATTGCCACTTATTCCACTGATCCACTTGTCAAAGCAAAATGCATACTGCAATACTATATGTGTCAACATAATCAAAGAGTGTTCCAAGTTAACAGCCAATTCTTCTACCTACCAACCAACTGATCTGCCATGCCTACATCCCTGGAAGTCCAGCGACAGAAACCACAGGCCAAGTAGTACACTTTCCTGGCTGTGACTTTGGAAGGGTCATCAGGGTCAGGGACAGCCTGGCTACTGGCTCTAGTTGACAGTGTATGCATACAACTGGGGCAGTCAAAACAATTGGCACAGCTAAAAAAAATGAAAATTTTCATTCATTAGTACACACTTCAGCCATACATTAAAAACATCTGACTGTGAGTCAGAGTGAGTTCTATGTTTAACTACATGGGATGAACAGCAAAAAGAAATGTGAAATTATGATTGAACATTCATGTTAATTCTCAAATAATAAGTTTTTGAGTCTTCACGGTTAAAAAAACAGTTTCACCATGCTTTCTGGCATGAAATGCTGCATGCATGTACATAGAATCAATATAAGGTTTAGTTTGGGGAAAATGTGCATGAACATTAGTTTAAATTTATACTTCTGTAATACAGTTCCATCCAGTGGCTCTTACCGATTTTCTTTAACTTTGCTTCAGCTGATGGCATATTCTCTAGGCAATTGGGGCAGTAATGAGAATCAACCTGAAATAGAATAGTTACAAAATATGATAATTACAAGAGTCATGTTTTTGAAAAAAGAATAAAAATCAGCAATATCTGAATGAAAATTCTCACTTTTAAAATACGTGATTAAATTACTGCATGGCCCACTTGTTTCTGTACACTGGCATGCTCTTGATATATAAGTTGCTATGTCTAATCAATGGCATTTAATCTCATCGTTTTAATTATAGAGAGGACATTTTAGAAGACTTCAAAAAGAGAGAATGTGTGAATCTACGCTAGTCTCGACGGTTATCAAATGTTCATTGCGTATGAACTTACCTCGTGCAAAACACAATCTCCACATCGCAACTTCAGACAATGTCTGCAAAAATAAAGTTTACAGAGAGGGGCTTTCGACCCACAAAAACACCGAAGCTTCACTCGTTCCACATCGATGAAGGAAGCCATCTTTTCTCTGCGGAAAAAAGCCGCACCCGAGTCTGTAAAGTATATGGTGATTGGCCAGTACATTAAACAGAGCCAATCAAATGTTTTGATGGAAAATGAATATCTGACCTTAAGCTGACCTTGAGATAGCTATTTTCACCAATATATGTCAGATTCAGCATGGATTGTTGACATGGTTGTGCACTAGGATTAAAACTATTTGTGACTAGTCTCTACTTCATCTGTTTTAATGAGTTTGGGTAAATAGTCTCTCTCTCTCTCTCTCTCTTTCTCTCTCTCTCTCATACAAACACGCACACACCACAGAAAGCAGGTTAGATGCATATTGACTTTTTTGTAATAATTCACGGCAACACAGAATTGATCATAAAACGACGAAAACCATTGTTTTTCCTTGATTTCATTTTACTATTTATGCCTATATATATTGCACTGGCAATTCCTATTATTCCTATTACAGCCTATTAGTACGCTCTCCTGTCACCATGAATACATGGTATGAAATTTTCAGGATTATGCCTGATTGCAGGATTTTCAATGTTGATTTTGATCATTTTATTTATTTTCTTTTTTTTTTTTTCAAGTGGTCTAAATGCAATGAGAAATTGCAAGCTATTTTGGGGGGATTTTTAGTTTTTACAACTTGAACCCATGTGAACATGAAAACCACAGAAAGCAGTGTTTTAAATAACCATGCTAGACTACCATATTGCCAAAATTAATTAAAAAAAGAAAACAAAACACTCTGGTTTGTTATTTTTAGCTGAATTTCATATACTGTCAGTATAGCCTTTGTTACTGTATATGCGTCTTTTTATACTGCCTCTGTATTGTATACAGCACATCATGTACATGGTAATCTCAAATTGACTTACACGCCAGTCACTAGACAGCAGGATGCAATTGGCATGATATTGGCCCAAGATTGGGTGGGTTGGATGACCAACGTTGGCTCATTGGTTTGAATTCCCACCACCGCCTTCAAAACACTGAGCCAACATTGTTTGCCCAACCACTGCCTTCTTGCTTTCTGGGTCTTGAATCTGATTAATGCACTCTCAGTCTGTAATGATGACAGTACTACCTTATCTGCAGCATTTCAGTTTTGGCTCTCGTATCATCACCCTATTTATAATGGTTAAATACAGGCTATGTGCTTTTTCTACCTCTATCTGTCAGGTGACGACTGACTGTCATGCTTGTGCCACATTCCATTCAAATTTCTACGTAGTACTACATATCAATTATTATTATTATTATTATTTATTTTATTTTATTTTATTTTATTTTATTTTATTTTATTTTATTTATTATTTATTTATTTTTTTATTCTTTTTTTTTTTTTTTTGCAGGTTTAAAACAACTTGTTACCTTAGGGCGAGTGCCTTGTGTGTGCAATCTGCAGGTGATTAGAAGATTATGCTCAGCTGGAATCTCACAGAGCTCAATGGAGCATGTAAGTGGAATCAACAGTGTGTCTTTGTGTTTTGGTGTAGGAGGGGGTGTACATGTATTTATGTAAAACATGTGAGACAGGCCTTATAACAAATTAGGCATTAACTAACACTGCCCACAGATCTTTTGGCACAAATGCCTGTATTACCAACAAAACCCACAAATTAACCAACGTACTGTACAATTATTTAGCACCAACAAAGTGATACCTAGCACAAACATCCATCTGCTCTGGTAGTGCTGGCTAATTTGTGGATTATGTGGTTAATATGGGTGTTAGTGCTAAAAGAAATGCGGGCAGTGTTAGTAAATGCCTAATCCGTTTATAAGATATCAAGAATATGTTACCACTGGCACTTAGCAATTTACTCTTGAAATTAGCAATAAATGAAAATGTATTAAAGTGTTAGAAATGCCTTTATTTCTTCTCTTGTCACCTAGGCAGTAGACCAAAGAATCAGCTCAAATTTTCAAAGCTTCAATATTGCATTTTTTTGGAGATAAACTCAATATTTTGTCTTAGTTTATTTTGCACAGAAATCTTTACACCTTATTCCCCCCCCCCCAAAAAAAAAAAAAAAAAAGAGATTTTAAAAAAGCAAAGTGTAACTTGTACTAGTAATAACTGCATGCTTAATTTGACTCAAGTTCTGGTTATCTTCAATTGCTTATAAGTGCATAATGGCACTGACTCCTAAGGCTAGAAAGATGCAGATTTCCCCCCTCTTTAAAATGTGTGGCTTTGGGCCAATGAGCCACTGCTTATTTCATACACTGCATTACAAATGTATTGTTACTTAAAATATTGACTTTATTTCAGGAAAAGCCAGTGGAGTCATTAATCAGGAAGAAGTTGGCTGAAGCTTTTGAGGTTAATATATATTTTAGTTATTGTTACACAAAATTGTTGCACAGAGTAATACTGATTTGAAAGTCCACAAGAGAGTTAAAGTATGCATAAAAAGAATTTGATAAATTGCTGAATGTAAAATATACTGTGTAACTAATCCCATTAAAGCCATTGATATTCATGGTATCTTGTTTCTGTTACAAAGTGCCTCTTTTTTCATTACAGCCAGTCCATTTTGAGATAATAAATGAGAGCTATATGCACAAGGTACCAAAAGGTAAGACTAAGAGTGTGTGGAATATCCATGTGCTTGTCAGTATTTAAAGAAAAAGATGTCCTTATTTTTTATTTATTTAATATGAGAATGTGTTTTATAAATTTTATTAGTTTAAATTGTTCATGTATTTTAAGTGTTGCACACCCGCTTCTTTGATAAACAAAACTGAATGCAATTTCCATTTTCTTTCTTTCTTTCTTTCTTTCTTTCTTTTTTTTTTTTTTTTTTAAATAGATGTTTTGTCTTTTAGGATCAGAACTGCACTTCAGGATTTTGGTAGTGTCAGAAAAATTTGAAAATGTACCCATGATCAAGGTCAGCATTTATTTATTTTATAGCCTCTTAATTATTACAAAGCATGCTAACATAGCCAAGGAACCAGAAATTCTTAATTATATCTCTGTCAGATAACAGTTTACAAATGCAATATATAAGACTACTCTGAAGTTCAATTATACTTACAAGGGCGCAATAAGCTTGGTTTTCATACATGATTATGGGAGCTCGGTAACGCTTATTGTTATAGTCAACATTACTGAATGAATGAAGCAAAGTGTTTGTGGGAAGAATGGAAAAGTTCTTTGACAATGATACATAATTATGTTTTTTTATCCTGTAGAGACACCGGCTGATAAATGATGCCCTCAAAGAAGAACTCAGCACACACATTCATGCACTGGCTATAGTTGTGAGTGTTCTGATACTGAAGGAAATAAAATGGTTTAACCATGTATTCTAAAAAACAAAGAAAAAAGCACATATGTACTCTGTATGGTCAGGCCTCAGCATAAAAGCCATAAAATTTATTTATGAAAAGGACTAGAAAATACATGCTTCTCATTTAATGTATAAAGAAATTTTACAATTATATACATCTACTTATTTAAGTCAGTGTATCCATTTGCTTATATACAGGCAAAAGCTCCATCACAGTGGAAGAATCAGGATGTTGACATAGGTAAATCTCCCACCTGCCTGGGAGGTTTCGGGATTTGACCCTGTACAGTAAACGATTTTCACAGTGTCAACTACATATCCACCACTGGCTGATACTGAAATATGGATGTAAAAGATCCACACGGCGAAGGTGCCACTTGTGTACCCTCTACCAGGGCAACAGATTGATTTTTCACAAGACATTGACAAATGTCTTTAGATAAATAGACAGTCATTTCATTCTCTTTTTCAAGATTTCCCTATAATATCTGATACCCTGGTAGAGGGTACCACTTGTCTTGGATGTCACTGGTTCAGCAGCATATCTGGCTATCAGCTCAACTTTATTGGTTCTAGTGTAATCAGGAATGAAGACTGATCAGTGAAAATGATGATGATGATGATGATGATGTTTATTAATGAAGTCTGATCTGTCTTCAGTCTGTGGCCATTTTATGTATAATATGTCAATAAAGAAAATGAGAAATGTAATGTTCTGAAATATACATTCTTGGCTAAAATATAGAAAAAAAAGAGGAATAAAGTATCTTGATATGTTATTGGTGACACCTATTTTTGTTTTTTAAAAAAAGGATGTTTTCTTATGAAATCAGATGGTAGTACATAGTGCATGCCTTTACCTCTGGTAGGATTTTTTAAAAGTAATGACAAACCCTTCATACTATCTTTTATTACTATGCTTTTTAACCAAGGATAAATATCTCAGGTGAACACATATTGAATTGATTGAATGAATGAATAATAAATGTTTATTATTTGATGATTTTTGTTCATTTGTTGTCTAAGGAAAAAAAGAAGACTCACAATAAAGAAAAAAATGGGTTATAGAATAGAGCAAACATTGTGTTTGTCATTATTTTGTACTGTAAGCAATGGCCTTAATAAAGCACTCATTGTGAAGGGAAATGATTTAATGTAAATTTCAATTAAAATGGTTGATAACTGTAACACTTGATGTGCAAAGAAAAAGGTGTAGATTACATCAAAGCTGGCAACAAAATTTTATTTAGCAGTCTGATTGGTTCAAGTTGGTTTGACTTTGCCCAGATAGTGCTGTCATTCCTCTCCTTATTGTGATTTGATGCATTAGCAGCATATTTTGTTTTGTTTTGAACTTTTTTTCAGATGAAGTAAATGCAAGATGGTTATTTAAGTCAAGGTATAGAAATAGATTCTTGTTGATTTGTGTTATATTATATTTTACCTTGCATTTGTACATTCATTTCTAATTGTACTCATTAAATTCATCTACTGTTAAGTCCTGGGTTTTCGCTGAGAGAGAAAGCAATTGTGCTAGTTCTTGTTTTCTATAAACGCTTACAAGATACATGTAATGCTGGTCACACAACAGCTTTAGGTTGCTCAGAAGGCATTTCAGAGCCCTTGGGTGTCATGCAGTATAATCTGTAGATAAAACTCACTCCAAGTACTCTTAAATTAGTAGTTTCATTATGGCTCTGAACGGTATGGCTAGACTTTGCACCCACTGCTAATCTGAGAACTTGATTATTCCAGGAACATGCGTGCGACACACAGCGTGATAAAAGTGATTGTTGTGATAAAAAACATCATTTGTCTAAATATGTTTCCCCTTTGCAAATGTAAAAGATATTGCCCAAGGGAGAAAATGAATGGAAATCTAATGAAAGAGTGCTGAGAAAGACATGTTTCTTGAAATTGTTCAGCTGAGAGTGATGTTCAGCTATATCTTTATCCCAAATTGCTTTTTGACAAATTTTGAAATGACTCATGAAGCCAAATGTCCTGCAGTGGGTTACTATAATTATGACTACTTAAATAGGACATGAGATCCAAATTATTTTGATAGCATAGTTTATTGGACGTGACGTGCGATAGTGAAGCTTTGCCTCACCCAGAAAAAACTCATAAAAGCCATTTTCAACAAAGAATATTTATGATTACTTGTGAATTAATTTCAACTTGATAGCATCTGTGTAAATGTATAATGCATATCACTATGAAAAACTTAAATTAGACCTTAACATTATTCACTCATTGTTAATTTATGATTTAGGAGAAAGGTACAAAATATTTAAGGCATCGATACCATTACTTATAATAAACACGGTTTTTGCTAATAAGAATTTTTAATTTCTTTTCTGTCTCCTCTATGCTCGTTATGATTTGCACAAATTTCCAAAAAGAGAAAGCATCCAATTTTCTTACTGAATGGTGTAAACAATGCTGGCATCAATGTCACTTTAAATGATGAAAAATAATAACCCCAAAAAACCAACTGCAGTGGAAAATTATTATAAACTAGAAAAGCACTTGGAATGTAACTAATTTTAAAAATATATGATTGATTGATGAGGTTTCTGTTGCTTTGTCATAGGACAAGATCGTCCTGGAATGTTACTCTATATATTATTTGGTCAAGAGTTGAATGGCAGGTTCTTGGACATAATTCACATAGCTAGGTCTGTTGAAAATAAAAACCTTTCTATACACATACATGGATCCAAGTCTTTGCATTTGCATACCAGTATTATAGTACACATAGATAATCATTCCCTCTGACAAGCAAGGGCAAAACTCTAACTTAAAGGTACTTCTGTCAAATATTTGGATCATTGAACACACTTTTAGCTATGTTTTTCATGGTGTTATATCTCTGCCTAGGAGACTGGCTCTTGGACGCCTCGTAGTTCTCATACATGGCTTCAATCAGCTGCTTGATATGCAATATTTTCTCTTGATAATCACTTGCTTCCATTTCCATGTTAACAGTGAGTGCCTGTACTTCTTTTTTGGAGTTTTCTGCAAAATAAGCTTGATGATGCAATAATGTCATCATTTGAATAATGTTTTTTTTCATTGTGTCTGCCTGTGTTGAGCTCAATGAAATGTTTTAGAAGATCATGAAACCATGTAAGGCCTTTTTATATCAAGTATTATATTTCAAAAGTTCCATCTGTAGCAGTATGTTTTGAAAAGTCTTACCATAATTACACTACAAGACATTGAATTCCCTTCACAAGTTCACTTTCTATGATTGGGCAGAATTTCTAACTGGAGTGTGCTCTTTTTAATACTCAAAAGCTCACATGCTGATACATGTATGTACATGTACCCAGGTCCGTAGCCAGGAGAGGATTGAGGTACAATAGGTTTCATGGTTAAAAGTCCACTTTTTCAGAAAATACCCCCCCCCCCCCCCCCCCTCCCGCGCCTTTTGAAATTGCTGGCTATGGGCCTGGTGCCAATCAAAATTAATTTTTTGTTCCAGCCAAGGTTGGGCAGATCGTGAAGATGGCAATATTGTACCTAGTTTGTATCTTGCAGCCAGCATTGACCTGTCTCTCAGTTGCTGTACTTTTTCTGCTAGGTCCCTGGATCCTGCCAGCATCCCCACACTTTCAGTGGCAGCTCCGCTACTTTCTTGTTCCATCCTCTGAAAGTGATCATAGCAGGTTTTTATCATGTCTTTTAGTTGTCTATATCTGCATATGGGAAGACCATGTTTTGCTCTCTGGAAATGCTGTGACAATTCATCCACCAGTGCTTTATATTGATTGTACTTTGCTTCAAGTTGATCTCTTTCTGCATGGACTCTTGCAGCTGTGTTCTCTGTCCTTCCCATGATGAGCTCCTGTTCCTTAGATCACAACAACCAGCTGAAAAATAAAAATATATTATTATATTATACGATAGGAATTACATGAATGAGAGAAAATATTTTCAATATCAAAATTATTTTGTCTCGAAATTAGTTTCATCTTACCTCAACATATGCTGTTGTTCATCACCAGAAAAATAAACAGATACTGCTTTAAAATACCACATGATGGTGATAAATTTACACTTTGTACTGATTTCATCAGTGCCATTTTTCATCCACTGGACACCTTCTTAAAATGTGCAGTTACACATGTACTATAAAAACCAAGATCACTGTTGGGCTTAAACATTAGTTTATTGTTGATTAAAAAAACTGAATAATTATATTAAAAAATCACAAAATGTAAATGTTGCAAATGTTTGACACAATTATAGTAATAAGTAAATAAGGACATATTACACAAACAGTTAAACAAATATAAGTGCTGCACATGTTCTACTACTAGAAAAGCTAAATTTGTGTTTTTGGTTGGTTTGGCCCCTTAAATCCAAACAACCTATCCAGAGGATATCTGTGTTTCATCATTGGATCATCATGGATGGTGCTTTTCATAGGATAAATCAGCCAATCCAGATTTAATATTGGTGTCTCTTGTTTAATACATGCATTTCTTTGGCCTGTTTTGTAGTGCTTTTCCACGTTTGACATAGGATGTTACCTACAGGCACATGTAAGATATTGCTAAAACGACACTTTATGAACAGATAGTTAAGTTGTACAGTTCAAGGAGGTAGGATAAATCTGCAAATTTGCTGGTAAAAATGGCAAATTTCCTTGGCATTACATTTATAAATATTTCATAAACATTTGAGATTAAAGGATTTCAATGCAACACGCACATAAATAAGGATAATCAAATTAAACAGAAGTAATTTCTCTGTCTTTTGTACATGTAGTTGGCCATCTTGCAGAATGTTAGAGACATCAACAGCAAAACAAGGGTATTATGGGTATACTTTTTTTTCCAAATATGGAATGGATAAATGTTTTGTTAGCACCTATCATGGCTTTTACAATGTTTATAGTAACTATGTTGCATTATGGGAACAATTCTTTGAATGTGGTAATAAATAAATTTCTTCTTCACTGGATACTTATTGTGCTGTTATCTAGCTTTTGTGAAACACTACTTAATACAAAGGATCCAGAGGATAGCCAATTTATCCAACAGACAGGGATAACCATGATACAGAGTTATCCAGCATTGATGAAACTGGGCCCTGCTAAACTAACGTGCATCTTTTGCAGTTATCTTATCTTATCTACATTTTCTGTAGAGCTACTAGTACATTGTATACATCCTAGATACGTGTAGCACAATGTTTTAACTTCAGAGCAAAAAGTCGCTGTAAGTCCAACAACTTCTTGCAGACTTTGACGTCTTCTGGCTTATCCATACTGATCCAAACATAAAATCAGACAGTGTACTGTATTTCATTCTGTAGTTAAATACATACACAAAAAGAGTATTTAGAGACTAATATTATATACCAATACTTACTATAACGGTTTGGGTGTAACTGGAAATGTCCCTTGACCCTCTATCAAGTGAAAACCAGGTCATTTTTTGAAGTGCTGCCCCCTTGGTGTTTTTTGCAAAATCCAGGCCATCATCATCATCATACCACTGGCACCTACTACTTTGGTAAATAACAGATAGTACTATGTCTATGAGTTGGGACTACTGTACACTTTTGCTGCAAAGTCTCTGTCAAGCCAGTTCAGGGTCGATTACAGTGTTGCTTCCATTTTAATATATATATTCTGATCACTGTTTTTTTGCGTTGTTACTGATGCCATCCAAAATATCACTCATTATAACTGCCAAACCATTTCTTGTTTTATTTTACATTTAATAAGTAGAGTTGTTTGCTTAAGGGTTCCTTTCAAAAATCAGCATGATCAGATTATTTTTATAAAAGTTTTTTTTTTTCTTTTTTTGCATGCACATTGCCAATATGGCCCATACGCATTTCGTTTTTTTTTTCTTTTTAAGATATTGTTACAATGTTTTTACATACTAGTAGCTATCACCAGTGTCTGTTATTGTTGCTGTTGTCATCATTGCTTTGCACTTTTCTCTATAAACACAAGTGACAGAATAATGGATAATCCTGCTACTTATTATCCTCAAACTTTCTATAATCATTGTAAGACTTAATTGCAGCTCAAGTTACAAAACCTGCCCTATTGGATTATTTTTGTTTAAGTTATACAATTGTCACTTTACAAATATTGTCATTTCCATTGCAAGTCTTTGAACTGCCATATAAACCTGAAGCCCCGAGCTATAGTTACTTTTTCTGAATGTCCATGTTATTAGTAGTACACAATTTAAATTTTATACATCTTGTATTACATCAAAATTGACAACCCAACATGTATATTGTGTACTATCATTATAATTATGTACAGACACAGATGTGTCTGTACATATTGCCATCACCTGCGTCTGTCCTCGCCGTCGCCGATGCCGTCGCCGTGCACTTTCCTTGTTAACACGATAAGTGGATGGCAGTTTTACTTTTTGGCTTTATATTTACAGAGCTGATGAATATTCATAAAACGCAGGTCAAGTTCGAAAATCAGCATGATCGGGCCATTATTGTAGAAGTTATGCTGTTTTTTCACTTTTCAGCATATATGCAACACTGTAAACACATTTCAACAAAAACCAATAGGCCTGTTGTCATGAAACTCACAGGANGGCAGTTTTACTTTTTGGCTTTATATTTACAGAGCTGATGAATATTCATAAAACACAGGTCAAGTTCGAAAATCAGCATGATCGTGCCATTATTGTAGAAGTTATGCTGTTTTTTCACTTTTCAGCATATATGCAACCCTGTTAACACATTTTAAGGAAAACCGATAGGCCTGTTGTCATGAAACTCACAGGAGTAATCAATCTTACTAAAATGCAGGTCAAGTTCGAAAATCGGCATGATCAGGCCACTATTTTAGTAGTTATGCTGTTTTTTCACTTTTTAGCATATATGCAACACTGTAAACACAATATATGAAAAACAGATCGGCAAATTGTCATTAAACTCACAGGAGTGGTCAATCTTACTAAAATGCAGGTTGAGTTTGAAAATTAGCATAATCAGGTCATTGTTTTAGAAGTTATGCTGTTTTTTCACATTTCCTCAAATTCAATTCTTAGGCATGTTAACAGTCTTATTATTTAACTAATAAGATACATAAAAGTGTTTATATGACATTTCCTGCATCTTTACAACATTGTTAGTTGATAATATAAAACTTTTGGTAAACTTGTTATCGTATATTGTGTAATAAAGTGTCAAAAATGGAAATAAACTCATATCATTGCAGTTTGTCAGATTCAATCATTCAGTATGTTCAGAATCTCAGAAAGGAAGCAATTGGGCATTTAACACTATTCTATTGATATTTTTCTCATCTCATCAATTTTCTTAGTTGATCATATAAAAATGGCAGTAAACTGTTAATTTTGTTTTATGTAAAAAAATTGTTAAAGATGGGGAAAAACCCATTTCAGAACAGTGCTGTCTTGTTTCACATTTCCTCAGATTCAATTCTTAGGCATGTAAACAGGCTCATTATTGAACTAATAAGATATGTAAAAGTGTTTGTTTGACATTTCCTTCATCTTTATAACATTGTTAGTTGATTTTTTAAAAATGATGGTAAACTTATTATCGTGTATTGTGTAATAGAGTGTCAAAAATGGAAATAAACTCATATCATTGCAGTTTGTCAGATTCAATCATTCACTATGTTCAGAATCTCAGAATGGAAGAAATTGGACATTTAACACTGTTCTACTGATATTTTTCACATCTCATCAATTTTCTAAGTTGATCATATAAAAATGGCAGTAAAATGCTAATTTTGTTTTATGTTAAAAAAGTGTTAAAAATGGAAATAAACCATGTTGAAACGGTACTGTCTTGTATACATTTTGGCATTTTTATGTACAGACACAAATGTGTTTGTACATATTGCCATCACCTGCTTCTGTCCTCGCCGGTGTCGCTGTCGTCGTCGGTGTCGCCGTCGTCACCATGCACTTTCCTTGTAAACACGATAAGTGGAAGGCAGTTTTACTTTCTGGCTTTATATTTACAGAGCTGATGAATATTCATAAAACGTAGGTCAAGTTTGAAAATCAGCATGATTGGGCCATTATTGTAGAAGTTATGCTGTTTTTTTCACTTTCCAGCATATATGCAACACTGTAAACACATTTCAAGGAAAACCGATAGGCCTGTTGTCATGAAACTCACAGGAAAAATCCATCTTACTAAAACGCAGGTCAAGTTCGAAAATCGGCATGCAGCCTGAGTTGGAAGAGCAGTCTAATTAGATTCTTTTTCTGGAAGTTATACATTTTCAAAGTGTGAACTTGAACTCCCATGGGCCTGAAGCCTTATGCTTGTTACACATTTTACTTTGGAATTACCTGTTAAGCATAATTAAAATTTGATGTTGAATTTGCAGTTTAACATAATGTACTTTTGCATCAGAATTGACAGTGCCCTATTTTGTTTTTTCCTGCTTTTTGCCTGTACATTTGACAGCTTTGCTGCCTTGTTACATAATCAACTAACACTGTTGTAAAGATGCAGGAAATGTCAAACAAACACTTTTACATTTCTTATTAGTTCAATAATGAGACTATTAATATGTCTAAGAATTGAATCTGAGGAAATGTGAAAAAAAAGCAGAACTTCTAAAATAATGGCCCAATTATGCTGATTTTCGAAATCAACCTGAGTTTTAGTAAGATTGACCACTCCTGTGAGTACAATGACAATTGGCCTATCTGTTTTTCTTATATTGTGTTATCAGTGTTGCATATGTATATGCTGAAAAAAAAATTTAAAAAAACGGCATAACTTCCATAAAAGTGGCTTGATCATGCTGATTTTCGAACTTGACCTGCATATTATGAATATTCATCAGTTCTATAATTTTCAAGCAAAAAAGTAAAGCAGTTTTTTACTTTTCGTGTTATCAGGTTTGCATATATGCTGAAAAAAAGTGACAAAACAGCATAACTTCCATAAAAATGGCCTGATGACGCTGATTTTCGAACTTGACCTGTGCATTATAAATATTCATCAGTTTTGTAAGTTTCAAATCAAAAGGAAAAACCGTTTTACACTTATCGTGTTTACGGTGTTGAATATATGCTGAAAAAAGTGAAAAAAAAACATAACTTCCCTAAAAATGGCCCGATCATGCTGATTTTCGAACTTGACCTGCGTATTATGGATATTCATCATTTCTGTAAGTTTCAAGCCAAAAGGTAAAACGGTTTTCCACTTATCGTGTTTACGGTGTTGAATATATGCTGAAAAAAGTGAAAAAAAGCATAACTTCCCTAAAAATGGCCTGATCATGCTGATTTTCGAACTTGACCTGCGTATTATGAATATTCATCAGTGCTGTAAGTTTCAAATCAAAAGGTAAAACCGTTTTACACTTATCGTGTTTACGGTAAAAGTGCACGCCAACGGCGTCGGCGAAGGCGACGGCGACATTAACGGCGACGGCGACGGCGACGGCGACGACAGACGCAGGTGACGGCTATATGTACAGACACATCTGTGTCTGTACATAAAAGCATTTTCCTCAGGCGTTTTAGAGACGTTACACAAATGCTTTCCTTGCCAGAAAACGCGAAAGTCCCATTTTACCATGGACAAACGATATCGTACGAACCAGCACATGCTTTTCTGCACTGATCCGCAAGCACAAAGTCTATCCTGTCCGATAATACGGTGTAACGTGACAGAGAGTCCCCCATGACAGTGAGTCCGCTTCCCATTCATTTGTACAGGTTGTGGGGAACCCTTCTTTAGACCATCCCGAGGCCCCACATTACATTAAATAGCTCTTTATGATAAACCCTAGGGTTTGGGCACAATGGGCTCACGTCTTTGGATAACGCTATCTGTAATACTGCTACAGAGATTCCCAGGTCCCTTGACTTAAACTCTGCACACGGAAAAGAATGAAACAACTCCATGTTGTAACTTCAACAGAATATATTTTTCTACACTAACAGTTACATGGTACAAGCCCCTCTCTCTTCTATCCAGTCTCACTTCTACATACCGGGGTATTACTCTCCCCCTAGATTTAAGTTTACAGATTTTTATACTTAACTTTATCAGTTAAACTGTCCATCACATAACTTTAAAACTGATTGGTTACTTCAAACACAAGTCCACCCCCTCATGGTGGGCACTACCAATAACCAAGGAGTTATAACAGAACCTTCTGTTATACTGTAACTCCTTGCAATAACCAAGCTCTAACAGATTACAGACTTCGAAACAAAGGGCATTAAAGTTTCAACCGCAAGGTGTGAAGTACAGTGTACTATCTGAAGCTACTTATACAACTTGGCTTCCCATGTATGAATTTTATCACACAATGGTTTCCTCTGATTGAATTAATACAACGCTATGTATGAAAGTTTTAAAAGTACCAATAGAGTGTTTTCCACGAAATCGTGAGCATGCGCAGTTCGCGCCATTTTGTGCGGGACTGTTTCTCAGGGGGCAAGAGTAGAAGGGGGCCTTCATGGACGGCTGTAACGATGTAAAGTAGATCTCCTGCTCTTTGCATTTATCGGTAATGGGTGGTCAAGACAACTGCTGTGTGTATAACTGCAGCCACCGGAGAGGTAGAAAAGAAAATGTTTGTAGGTTTTTTTTTTTTTTTTTGTTTTTTTTTTTTTGTATTTCCAAAGGACAGACGTTCGACATTGCTATGGATTAGTGCCGCTGGTCGTGCGAACATTTCATCAAAAGATATAACTGACAACTTCAAAGTCTGTGGCTGTC